AAAACTGAGGAACGCGGCCAAATCCTTAGCTTTGCTCCAGTTTGGCGTCAGGCTTATTGTTGCGAATCTGAATCGCGACATTCAGGCATCGACAAACAATCTGTTTCCGGTGATGAAGCAAAAACTGAGGTCCCCAATTGCGCTGGCCTGGCAGGAAAACTTCAGATCATAGCAGGCCAAAGCTCAACCACTTCCTTTGAGGCTATAGATCCGCCTCTCAATTTGCAACAACGGTTAAACGAAACCTGGCCAAGCCGTGGGCAACTGCATCGGTTGCGTCCACTCCGACCACGGTGAACACTAAGAGAAGCATGTGGATGCGAAGATGATGGTGATGCATACTTGACAATAAGCTCTCTCTCTATATAACTATGGCCCTTTGGGAGGCTCCAGGCCTGGCATTGAGTCATAACTCTCCGCATGACAATCCCATGATCAGTGTGAAACAGAAAGCAGCCACTTCCACCCATTGCGACAACACCCGTGGTGAATCAATCCAAACACCCGCTCAAACGAAGGCTCGGGGCCTGGCCTGTCTCGAGCGCCAGCACGAAGATACACAACTCCTCGAGTCGAGTCGAGGAGGTTGTAATACTGTGGATGGATGCGAACTTTATGTTGCAACACCTAAGACACCCTGGAATGATGATTCCCCTGCAAAAATACCAACAAACAACGGTTTCAACCATGGTTTCTTAGGTGGTGTGAAATGGATTTCGTCCCTCCACAGTATTTCAGAGTCTTCGTCTTAGCCGCAGTCCTGGGATGGGAATTCCGGCCATCTCTATCTACCGGGAGCCTTTCTCTTACGTGCCATCTCTGGCTCGTGGTGAACTTGCGGACCTGGTGTCAACCAAGGAAGACTCAAGCTGCTGGCGTGCTCATCAGAGCGTTACCTGAGGTGCATATACTAGGCCACCAAGGAAAGCATCACAACAGACTTGCCTGTGGAGAAGAACACAAGGGTCTCAAAAAGGAGATTAAATTGCTAACTGTACCAGCCAAAGGTGAATCTGAGAGCAGCGCTGAACCCGAGCCAAGCTTTCTGTGGATTGCCTGGATTCAAGCTAAGTGTCCTGGATCCCAGGCAATCCACGGCAAAATCCTACCCAAACTGAGGCGGCTGTGTCGAAAATGCTATCGGCTCTCGCAAACGGTGTGTCCTGTTTGGGTGCCGCATGAAACTCGCTGTTGCACTCTACGAACTTCGAGGGGTGCAAACTCAAGTTGAGCGATGGGTCCCTCAACCCCCCCCCCGGAAGCCGAGCCCCAGAAGCTGAGCCCCAAAGGCCCAGGCAAGCTGCAGCTTCAGCAAGGACTGCAGCGGCGTGGCCTTGACTTCAGCTCCAAACATCCCAAGCGAGTGCGTGTTGCCATGAATCCCGGCCCCAAGCGCAGCCAACAACAAGCAGGCCACAAGGGACTCATCTGGCCATGCCTCCAAGATCTGAAAATCCCAAGAGTTCCCCAGGCGTTGGCTCCGAACATCTCATTGCTTGCAATACATCCTCTGCCTGGGAGTACGCCCGTTCCAAAATCACGTCAATCAATTCCAGATTTTCCTGTCATTTCAAGACCAATTGTCCTGTTTTCACCATGTAATCACAAATTGTGGGGCGACACAAGATGGCACAAGTCCCCTCTGGCTTCCTCGTCTCCTTTACCTGCAAGGAACCGCTTCAGTGTCCGGCCGCAGTCCGTGGCCGGTGGTGTAGCTGCTTCAGGTGGCTGTGGAAGATCCCAAACCTGACATCGCCGTCCGGGTGCCTCTTGTTCCGAGCCGGAGAGCCGGAGACGAAAAAAAGCTATAGTGCCCTGAATGACCCACCGACCTTTCCTAGGTCCTCCAGTAGAGAGGTTAGAATAAGAGTACCTTTTTTTCCTGTGGTCTATTTTAGTACGGGAACCCTCCCCCAAAAAAGGATAAAAGGGCACTACTGGGGGACCTAGTTTCATCCAAAGTCACATGATCATTGTCAGACGGGTGAGAAGACAACACCTGAGCAAAGCTTAGGTAGCAAGCACCGATGTGACCCGACCGGGAAAAACACGGAGTTCCGAATGGGGTCTGCTGAAAAAGCAGCCGCAGCCGCAGAAAATAGCCGCCATCCGCCAGAGGTTGGGGTTGGGAAATGTAAATTCCTTGAAGCAACTAAACCTACCATATGCCTCATGCATAGCAGAAACATCACCCGACCAACCATGCGTTCGGAAACACACCCCTTCACTAGCAGGCATTTTAGGCAGCTTTGAGCTCTCCAAAAGCCTCGGTACGGCTGGATTTATGCACAAAATACATAAACATAAATGCACATGAGCATTGCGCACCCACCGCATCTGAGCACATCTCAAGCATGCCCAAGACACACATCCAGGGAGCTTCTTTCGTCACCTCGGAGCGAGCCATTGCACAGCGTGAGTAATGCCAAAGGGGGCTCGGCGGAGTGTCCTCACTTCCGATACAATGTGTTCTAGGTGGCTTGAACAAGATAACACAACGTTGATGGATCGTTGATCACATGGGTTTGCCTCCAAATAGGATGGCCCACAGTGAATGCTTCCCCTTGACAGCCCAAAACAGGTTATTGCTGACTGGTGACTCAAAAATTGACCGACCCACATGAAGATGTACCATCTGCACATGCCGAGGGCACCACTCAGCCCCTCCGCCAGGTAGGTCGTGAGTCTTCTCAGCAAGTGCTCCCTCGGATTCCGGTTCCGACGCAACTTTCATCCCTTGCATTGCAGCGTGGCTCAATCTCACTACCCTTTCCCTTTCCGGGTAGTTTAGTGAGAGTCGCCCTAATCAAGGGATACCTTTTGATGGACAAAATCCTGCACCATTTCGAAACCATGGGAAACAAACCAGTGTTTGTTGGTATTTGCGGGGGAATCATCATTCCAAGGATTCCTGGGTGGTGCAGGATTTTGTCCATCCACAGTATGTCATGTATACAAACACCACCTGTGGGGAGAGAATCTCAATTGTTTCTGGGAGCTCAGGACCCTGCGCCCCGTGCCACCCGCTGGGAAAGCTCACCCAAAGATCAACGGAGTCACAGTACAGTGTGGTTCATGTCCTTTGTACCCCAGCCACAGGATTGCTAGTTGCCACTGCCCTCCAAGCTAGGTCAATGCAACAATGCGGACAGCTTCTTGGACCCTTCAGGCGGATAAATCATACTGGCAGTGCGTCAGGATATTCAACCCAACCCCTCTAACGAGCCTCTCACTTTTGCTTTGGCCCCATATAACAAAGGACAAAAGCGGAAGCAAGTCAACCAATCTCAGCCACAAACGATAAACGAAGAAGGAAACTAATCCTGCAGAAAGGTCCCCAATTCATTTGACACGCGTCACCAGTTGCGTCTGGAGCACGTCAAAGGCTTCAGGTCGACTGACCAGTGAACCTGTGCGAGTCTGTGCGGCGGTTCACTCTGACGATGTTGACAGCACAACATGGAAATCTATCACTTGCAGCAGTTTTGACCCATGTTTCATTCAAACCCATTGCGAGAAGGTTCCTTTAAACCCAAATCCAGTTGTTCGCACTTGTTGTTGAATCATCTGCTGCCTTACACAAACACACACAACTGCACAGCAGGCGTCGTGTTTCCAGCCTGCGCACAAGTGGCAAGCACGTGCTCCAGCGTGGGCAAATGGTATTTGTCGGGAAAGACCTGCGGAGATACGGCTGTGGGTCAAAAACAAGGTTAACCCCAAAATGGCACCTTGGTAAACAGAACCAAGGACAAACCCTACGGTCCCCTGGTGGTCTACTGTTGACCCATACCCACCATGGCATCGACGCGTCAATGGTCAGCTTGTTGAGCGCTCAGAGTCTGAGATCTGCAAACAGCTTGCCACCGCTACCTTCAGCAGGGAAAGTGCGAGGATTTGCACCTTGCATCCCTTGAAAGCCTGGGATGGGATTGTGAAAACGGCCCATGGACCACCCAAACACCGCTAAAAAGCCAAGCAACCCACTTGTTCAAACTTCGGGCTGAAAGCACGCAGCCAGCAACACGAACTGTGGCTTGAAGGGCACATGCACGATGCCGCATTTACAACGGAAGACCGCCTATTCGCAAGCAGCTCGGAGGGGCCATACCGGTCATGAACTTCCCGCCCACGCCGCATCCCGTCCTCGATGATGAGCTGCAGCAAATACGCCTGCCGCTGCCGGCTGCCAACCACGGCGTGCGGAGGCTAACAACTATGTATCCAATGCTATGCGGATCCATGACTCTGGCAATTGAGTATCATAAGCCTGCACATGGGCATTGTGCCTGCGTATCAAAGCAAATGAGGACAGCGGCTGTCGCGGTTAAGATAGCCTTTTAGTACGGACCTGATGCACGCTGCTTGGGTAAGTTGCACATGCACTGCACATCTCTAGTCCTGGCCAATGCGCAACATGAGGATCATGCATGGGGGGTGAATGAAACTAATGTTGCCTCAAGATGCATGCCCATGCCGTGACATCTTTCATGTGAGATCATAGGTGTCCTTTCAGGGGAAAACACACAAACAAGACATATGGTTCTCGTACATGTTTAGACACAAATTGACACCAGCACTATCCTTTGTCATCCAAACTGACCTAAACAAGACACCTATGTGTGAGATGCTATCTGTTCATCATGCAGGATGCCCACTTGGCAGAAGAGTTATATACCATTTGCCCTCACCTCTTGCAACCAGCAGTTGCAATGCTGATGGACAAATGGACACACAGCTGTCGACACGCTCGGATCGGCTCATATGAAGGCCCTAACCCTGCTTAGCATCCAAATTTAAACATCTCCTCTTACCTCAAACGTGAAACATACAAAAGCAACTGAGTTGCTCCTATGAATATGATGATCACAACGCAATCGGTTTTCAAAGTATCGCAGAACGGCATCCTAACGATGAGACCCACAGAAGTCGTCATCCGTCGAAAGCTTTCAAACCGCAGACAGGCTTGGCGAGTCGAGCGGGCGCGAAGTGCGCTTTTTCAGTCCATGCAATTGGGATTCGTGTCTCTGGCAGCTGCACCTGAGCACAAGAAAGGAATTTAGACACACCAGGAAACATCGGGGACCAAGGGGCCAAGGGAATGAATCAAGCCGCAGCATTCTCTGGGAGTTCATCCCTGATCCCTCTTAGGCAGGTATACAGAAACAACATGTATTCAAGATCTGACCCGAAACATGCCAGTCAAATACCACCCCGTCAAACATGTACAGTACATACTGAGTGAGATGAGCCTACAAGAACAGCTCCTTCAGAGAGAGTCTATGCCTACCGTATTTTGCTGTGTCGGGGTGGCAAGAAAATCAGAATGCCTATTTAAGAATGTCCAAACCAAGAGGTGATTGCTGGACCCATCCACAAACATGGAACCCGCTACCGGAACTTGGTCTTCCAGGATCCCTCAGTCGAGTTCCATTTAGTGGACACCAGAAGGCTTCTCGCATATATGTGAGCATGCGCGACAGCCTTTTCAACTTCGGGAAAGCCGCAGCACCTTGAACATCTCCTTCAAAAGGTTGGTCTCGTGCTGGTCACAAAGGACGTCCTTTGTCTAATGACATCCACATTGATACTGCACACAAACGAAATCCTGCACCAGTCGATGGGCGGCTTTGTCCCATAATTTCAATAATTACATCCCTCATGCAGGGTTGTGTCCACTAGTTGTCGGGTTTTTAACCTCTGGGTTCCTTTCTGATGCTATGTGCCTTGCTCCTTACAAGTTGGAACCCGTGTGTTGCCACCCATTCACAACTTCTGCACATAAAACTTCACCCAAGAAGTCTGATGGTGCCTCCTGGTTTTACTGCCCAAGCTATTCAGTGATTGCTCTTGCCAGGTCGCTCGCACCTCCGCGGCTCAGAGCCTGAGCGAAGCAACAACAGTCGGCCACCTGGAAGCTCGCGATTTGGCTTTGGCACTCCGTTTGTTTTGGGCAACTGGGTCAAGTGGCTGAAAGGGGCCAGCTTCATTGCAAGGTGCCCCAAAAAGACACACCCTTTAAAAAAAAAAGGGGGCCGTGGTGGTCGAAAATAGGGCAACCCCAAAACTGGGTTGCCCTGGTACATGGAAGGACTAAAAGCTGCGGTCCAATTCCTGGTGGTTTAATTTGACCCACACCCATTTCGAGACCTGCTGCTGGAACATTTTGTGTGCGGCCCGGCCGCGAAAGCATCTGCTGGCCCTCGACTACCCAAACCTCGCCGGAGACAAGTGGCCCTCATTTCAACATCTGGCAGCCTGCACAGGCCAATCGCAACATCCATCTCGCGGCAGAACATTGAGCAATCAACAAATGCAAGCATGCACCGGTTTCAAGACCTGCTTTAAGCCTTTTTGATTCGAGCTTGCAGCGCCTACTTTTTGACTTTATCGTTTGATCACGGGTCAAGCCATTTCAAGATGGTTCCCGGACGAGGTGCTGATGTCGATGCATCCAAGCTACCATTCTAGACATACAGAAGCTAAGAAGCCATTGTTCTCTTCAAAACCCCTCAGGTGCCATCTGTGCGGTTGCCAAAGAATGGCAACCCTGTTTGGGCGAAGGTAGCACAACAGTGTTCAAACACATCTCAAGGAATTGAACTGTGACCCAACCATGTGGTTGCATTGACTTTTCCAAGGGACCCGAAATGGTGGAACCTCACTTTTGTTAAGGGGATTCATGTGCAGCAACTAATATTCACCCCAGATTAATGGACCCCTGTTTATTGATATGCGGGGGTCCCTTAATCTGGGGGGGTCTCCGGGCTTTGTGGGGATTTATGACTCGAGGGGAACACTCCCATAATATGGAAGTGGGTCAATATTAAACCACCAAACAACCGCATATTTTAGTCCATGCTTCCATCCACCAGGGTTCCATTTTGGAGTGCCCTATTTTTGACAACCACAGCCATATTAATAAACTGGGGTTGATGAATCCGGGGTCAACAACACTCTTGAGGTGGCCCCCAAGCACTTCACGGCCGTCTGCCGAGATCTGAGCCACAATCAAAACCTGGGTAGATGAAGGTTAGTAAGGGATGCTCCCAGCCATAAACAGCTGCGACCGCCTTCTTAATTCTTTACATGGTTCTGGGTAGACCATTTTACTGCCGGGTTTTGATTATGACTCATCTGGGTGTGTTCCTTTGTCCCCAGGGCCGCGGCTGCCGCCAGGCTGGAGGTCGTAATGCCCCAGCTGGCACCTGGCGCGAAGCGGGAATCCAGCCCTCGTTACAAGGTGAATGGGAAACAACACGGAACTGGGGGTGGACCATGGGTAGTGGAAACCCCTAGGCCACATGGGTGCGGCTCAAAATTAAACAGCCAGGGTTACGCATGTTTTAGTCTTGGGTTCCATCTACCAAGCTGCCATTTTCCACAGCCACATGGCCTTAAGGGCGCGAATAGTACCAGTAAGTATTCCGACTCTCTCAAGAAGGGCACGACAAGTGGCATGGTCGCAGCTATCGAGCCTGCATGTAATCCAGGGAACAAGCCACCGGGTGGCAACCCGTTTTGATCGTTTTTTGTGGGTCAGGAGGAACCTGTTTGATGCTTTTGGGGCTTGACCATCAGCGGGGCAACCATCAAACAAAGAAAACGGGTGCCGCTAAACACCGGGGTTTGGGTCAAATGGGTGTCAAAGTCCAAGGGCAGAAAGTGGACATGTCAAATATGAAGGCCCCCGTTTAGGACAGGAACCCCATTGAAACCCAATCGCCAGACCTGAGCTTGGATATAAGGCCACCATGAGGTAATCAGCCGACTGGTGGTTTGGAGGCTAGTCTAGCCACCCTCCACAAAACCATGGGTTCACAGAACCAAACCAGCATCCAAACCACCAGCTGCTGGTTGCCGGAGATAAGCTTTTCCATTGGAGACTCGCCCGAGGGAAAACACAAAAGGGAATCCCTTCTGGTCTGTAGCCCAAGGGAACAATCAATGGTTGCCTCTAAACAGCCCCCAAGCAGCCCCCAAACAAACTATTCCCACTCCAACTGAACGTGAACACCAAAACCCATCCAGGGCCATTTAACGTAAAAGCCCTGAAACTTCAGGAAGGCCATCATGAGTCCAAACGGCTTGTAGAGACAAAGATCCGGTTTGCCAAGCCAAATCCTAGGATTGAGGCCCCAAGTCAGAAGCAACGGGGATTACACCCCTGAAACTAACATGGAAGCTCCCAGAAGGCCTCTGCAAATGCAAACAAGTCTGCCAAAGGGGTCCTGGCAGCTTCCATGTTAGCCTGGGGAAGGGTATGATGAGCTTGCAATTATCAAGCGGCCAATGGTCATGTGGTCTGACACAGGACGCACACATGGTGATGCTCAACCATCAGCGTTGAAACCTTTACGCTCAGTGATGTTCAGTTGGATTTCTTCTCAACGGTAGCCGGGCTCATGATCCCCTCCGGTGGTGTTCATTGAACCATCCCTTCTGCCCATCACGACATCTTGTCAACATGCTTCCCGAGTGTGATCCCTGTATCATGTTTCACGAGCAAACGAGAAAAAAATCAAACACAGCAACCCATCACCCCCCCGTTCAAATGTCTGCCATCGGAATGAGGCTTGTCCGACCCCAAGACGACCCCAATCAATAGTGCAAGATCAGCACGGCTCTGCATCTATCGCAACGGCGCGAACTGGTCGCAACATATCACAGTTCATTGCTCTAAATGGCTGATCAAATAAACTCATTCAGCAACTTATGTCGACTCATCACAACTCTAGCACCGATTGCACGCGCTGCCCAATCATAAGCCAGAGCTGATGCACAAACCGCCAGCCACACGTCGTGAACAGACCCTGATCCCCCACTGAAAGGATTTCACTTTGAGACCCCTGGGCGCCCCAGCAAAGGCGAACCACTTCAGGATCCTCCACCTGCGCCTGGTCGCTAGCCCTCTGTGCTTGAGGGCTGGTAAAACCCCACGAAAACCAACGCGGAAGCTCAAACACCAACGTTCCAAGTTTGCAAACGGGCTGTCCGCTGTGAGCGTTAGACGTGGGCCCAAAGAGGGTCATAATTATGTGAAGCCCCCACCCCCGAGATTTTGTGTCACAGGAGTCCCTCTGTGTTGCTGGCAACCCCTGTTTAACACATAATTTCCAGCAAATAAGAAGCCACAAACGAGATCAATGGTATAACAATTGTGTAAAAGGTGCTCTAATGTTTGGCAAAAAACACTTGAGCAGTGAAAAAAAACCTGTTACCCGTAAAGGAAATTACTCCAGCTTCCGCAATCGCTGGCGAAAAGCTTCCGCCAACCGAAAGGTCGCTTACGTTTGCTATTTTTCGAAGATGGAGCTTACGCATAGCTTACGACAAGTTGCTCGTGCCTGATCCCCCGTGCAAGAGGCGCTAGCATGACAAAGCAACAGCTTGCAGATGGAAAGGCTGCTGCACAGGCCCAGCAAGACAATGGAGGGCCAAACGTTGAAAACAAACTTTCGGGGCACGAAAAGTTTTTTTCTGCAGAAAGCGCGCGGAACCTCTGCGAGCAAGAGGCGCCAGCAGGACAGAGCAACAACTTGCCTGGAAAGGCGCAAAGGCTTTGCTGCACAGGCTCAGCAGTGACATGAAGGGTAAACTTTCGGGACCCGAAAAGTTGTTTTCTGCGAGGATCCACCACGAGCAAGGCGCCAGCATGACAGAGCAACAGCTTGCATGGAAAGGTGCAAAGGCTTTGCTGCACAGACATGGAGGGGCAAAAGCTGAAAACAAATTTTCGAGACCCGAAAAGTTGTTTTCTGCGCGGATCCTGCCAGAATGACAGAGCAACAGCTTGCACGGAAAGGTGCAAAGGCTTTGCTGCGCAAGCTCAGCATTGACGTGGGCACACTAGGGATTGAACCCGGCGAAGCGGGTGTGATACTACTACACCATGTGATCCTGATGTTGCTGCCCGAAGCCGGTGTTGAAGCTTTCACGGACAGAGAGGGGCAACAGCTCAAGGCAGACAGCGCACGGGCGCTGCGAGCAAGAGGTGCCAGCACGGCAGAACAACAGCTTGCAGATGGAATGCTGCACAGGCTCAGCAATGATGCTGGAGGGCCAAACGGAAAAATCTTTCGGGGCCCGAAAAGTTTTTTCTGCAGAAAGCACACGGGTCCTCTGAGCAAGAGGCGCCAGCACGACAGAGCAACAACTCGCATGGAAAGCCCCCAAAAACAACTTTCGGCTCGAAAAGTTTTTTCCAGTCCGCCAGCTTTTTTGGGCTTCGGGGCCCTGAAAAGTGCCTGCAGATGGCAAAAGGTGCCTCGCAACAAAAAAACTTTTTCCGGCCTCGAAGTTTTTTTTGTGCTTTCCAAGCCCGAGGCCCAAAGGTGAAAAGGCAAAGCCGCAGCAAAACAAGCCCGGGGCTCAACATGTTTTTTCCAAGCCCGCTCAACGAAAAAGGTGAGGTGCCGAAACAAAACCTTCGGGGCTCGAAAAGTTGTTTTCCAAACGCGAGCTTTTTTGTTCAAGCTGGCCAACGCGCTGTGCGTGGAACATTGCAAAAGGTTTGCACAAGCAACCCAACGGTCAAACAGCAGTTGTCTGAGCCTGAAAAAGTTGCTCACTGAAAGAATCCCTTTCCTTGTTGCTCGAAAGAACCCATTCCAGCAATCTGATCCCATTTTCGCGCCTAAAAGCATTACGCGGACCAAAAGCAACTTCTACCAAACAATCTGAGCTAAAAACGGGTCTGACAAACAGAGCTTACGCAAAGCTTACGACGAGTGACTCATGCATGCAGCTTACGCAGGACCTTCCGATCGCTTACGGATCTCGCAAAAACGCTTACGACTGCAAGAGTAATTTCCAGTTTCATCTAAATTGATCTACGGAGGTTTTTTTTCGCCGCTCACTTGTTTTTCTCGCAAGCCAAACCAGCCTCGTCTCTGGCTAGCAGGCGGGTCACCAGACCTCGCTCCTGATCGCGGGTCCCGGGGTAAGGATCTTCATACCAAATAGTGAAACCTTCGGCAGCACCCATCTCTTCCCATGTCCAAAAGCCCCTTGGTACCGTCCGCAAAGCACTGGTTGGGACTTGGTTGCTGGGTAGTTCACTGGAAAATCCGGTTCAAAAGATGCTGGGGCTGGGGATGAACCAAAACACGCAGTTGGCAATCCTTGGATCCCTGAGCTGAGTACTTGTTTCCATCTGAGCTCTTTGCAATGAAGGGTGGGTCAATCCTAATCCAAAATCCCGACAAAACCACGACACCCATTTAGTAACCCAAGAGGATTAACCTTTCACCAGCCCAAAAATAGGCCTTCCAGGCAACGTCGATGCCCCATTTGTCAAAGGGTACCAAGTATATACAGGAAAGTGTTGCCCGAATTGTTCCCTGTGGGATAAGTGCCTTCCGCCCAGAGAACCGTTTGGGCTCTCTATTTTGCCAGCCATTCAGGGATCCAAGAGGGACCTTAATCATTCAGCGGAGTCGATTGACAGATCCGCGAATCTGTTGCTTTGTTTGGGTCTAGGTTGTGTTTGTCAATCCCTTGGTCACCTTGCGGACTGCGGCAGCTTTGCTTGTGGCCAGCGCTTCAGTCAGCAGCATCCTGTGCTGTTGTTTTCATGCCGCGCTCTGGCGTTCTTGCTGCGTAACCGACCGGAACCAGGCTGACTCCAGCCAAACGGCCCTAAGATGGCACCTATGCTCAGTTCCCTCGTGTTTTTGGGGCGGGTGGGCTATGTCCTTTTGTCCCCGGGCCACTGCAGATGTCGGACGCCAAGGGGTGCTTTGCATAGGCCAATCGTGGGTGAATGCGATTGAAGAAGGGCTACTGTTGGAATTCTTTCAGTCTGGACAGCAGTTTGCCTGTTTTTGGCCACCAATAGCTGGGGGCCCTTCCCAAATAATTTAGGGGGGGGCCATATTTATAAAATGGCCATGAATTTTAACAGGGAACCACCTCAACAGTGATTGGGTGACATGAATCCCAACCTAAATGATGTCCACCAAAGAGTCCCATATTAAAATTCTTACCTGGGTGAAGACCAGGGCAGCCGCGTTTTCTCTTTCCGAACCAGATAAACTTGTATCAGGTACCCCTTTTCTTCATTTAGGGCGTACCCTCTCACCAGCCATATGACCAATCGCTTGCTACCTAGCTTTTTGGAAGGCATATTGTCTGCGCCTCTTTTGCCGCGTTGGAACACCACCTTTGAAATTCCCAGTCTTAAGACACATCCGCTACGCCATGAAAATCCCGTTGCTTTCCTCGACGGAGAAGAAGGCAGCAGCCTGTGAGGTTGAGGAGGGGCAAAGCCTGGGGCTTGCGGAAGAAGCTGGCAGATTGGGGTCATGCAGGAAAAAGGGGGGAAAAAGGGGGGAACGGGAGGAAGGAGGGGGGGGGGAGGGGGGAAGGGGGGGAGGGGGGGCCCGTCATCAAAAAACTTTCATTGGCACAAGCCGGTCACTTTGGAACTGAAAGGCAAAGCTAAGAGCGACGCTCGAAGGCAAGCCTTGCTAGTAAATGAAGCACATGTAACTTACTCTGGCCCGTTTGCTCCGATTCCATATTCCACTATTCCATGAAGCTACTTGGCGCGCTTGCATCATTTCGCCATGGTGATTTCGCACAGCATGAGACCCCAGGGCCGCCAATATGGTCACATCCTGTGTGATTTTCACCCAGGAAGGCAGCACCGTCCACAGGGATGGGCGGACACTTCCTACTGATGCCCACTGAGTGCTTCCATCCAATCGTCAAATTTAGAATCATCTGAGGGATGGTCATCAATGCGTGCTGATGCATGACTTCCGATAGCTGTTTGCAAGACACGTGGCGGCTCAAAAGAGGGAACTCCAAACTTTGCTGTTGTGTGTTAGCTTGCCACAATAAACAATCCCAAACAGGGTACTCTCCAAAAGGCATACCCATATGTGTGTGTATATATATATTATATATTATATATATTATATATATATATATACTGCTAGCTGGTGCATGACAAGTACACAACTTGTCCAAAATCCGAACAACCCTTCAGCTACTAATGACCCGTTCGGCAAGCTTCGGGGTAATTGCAAAACAAAAGGAAACAAAAAGAAACCAATCAATTACACCAGGATGAAAGCAGATGGCACAGGTCCCTTCATGTGGGTGCGTGAGGGGATAAACAACCCAAACGGGGCCATTGTGCGGACCCGCTTTCACTCAACTGTAGATCCAGAAAATAGGTTGACCCGAAACATTGCCGGTTTTCCTTTTGGTTCTCCTTTAACAAACCATCTCAAGCGTTCAACCATCAACCTGCAAACGGTACCAAGGACCGCCAGTTTTTGGTTCTCAACCAAAAACGGGTATACCAAGGACCCACAAATCCTTCGTTTTGGGTTTGCTTCTTGGGCGTCCCCCAGGCGGTTTGTTTAAACCACCGAGGCCGGCGCGTGGCCATCTGCGAGAGGAACTGCCGTGCCGCCCCCAAGGGCACCGCCCCCCGGTCCGCCTCGCTGCGCCGAAACGGGGCACCGAACAGGCCGAGAGGGGGCACTGGGTGTCTACAAATAGGGGGACAAATATGTGGGTCCCGTATTTTTCTTTTTTGTTCCCTTTACTTCTTTGTTCTGTAATAGAGGGAAATATAAAAAACAAATCCATTTCGCACCAGCGTTCAGAAACCCTTGGTTTCTGGTGATTCCCCTGTGAATACCATTGCATGGTCTCAAAGTGGGGCACGATTTCGTCCATCCACAGTATGTGGGTCCCGTTTTTGATGATTTTGAAGGATGTGGAAGGTACCAAAGCCCTTTTGAGAGAGTTTTGACATCCTGTGGAATGATTTGAGAACCGCTTTTCGAACTGTGTCAGAACCTGTTGTTGATAGTGTTGAACCTCTTGTTGATGGTTGTTGAGGGAAACCAAACAAATTGCCTCTCAAAATAGGATGGTGTCAGAGCCCTTGAATGGATTTAGAGCCCCTTATGTGCAAGCGGGGCACTATTGATGACACGTTGACCCCAAAATAAAACGCGACCTGGAGGGGTTCAACTTGCCTCGACCACAGGCGACCGGCGATACGCCTGCTCTAAGGACTCCAAGACTTTCTGGAAGACCTGCCGGCGACATTTCGCGAAGCGGCGTGGCAGAGCAGGGTTGCTCGTTGGCTTTGCGTACCAATCGGTGGCCAAACGGAAGAACTCCCTTCACTGTTGGTTTTGTTCGACGGGGTTCTCCCACCAAAAAGAAACAACCTGTCACCTGGCAATCGAGTTCGTTGCTTGGGGGCGGTATTTCTGGCTTCGCTTTTGCTTGCAGTTGCCTTTTACGCGGTGGAAAGTGATGAGATTCAAAGCCAAACTCTAGGCAGCAGACAGCGAGAGGTTTCATTGGCAGCACCGTTGACCCTGGATTGGTGGATTTGCATAGCTCCTGCAGTGAAACTTCCCGTTTTGGACAACATCCTGCGCCAGCTAGGATGGATGAAGCCCTGGAAATACGGGGAAAAACCATCTATGTGGTGCGAAGCACGTTTTGTCCGTCAATATTCATCAACCAGGCCCTCCAGGAGTGTAATCCAGGTTCCCATTTTGACGGCACACTTCCCTGCAAACTAACCTGAACCTCCAAAACGGGTTCCGAAAGGGAGATTCGTCTGTGAGTGATGAGCATGCTTTCGCTTGAGAGTGAGTGATACTGCCGCACCTCTCCGACCTGCAGCTCACTTGTGGCAGAAGCAAAGACCACTAAACATGGACGTACGCTTCGCTTTGGATCGTGCAACGGACGTGGGTGGCCTTTGGGAAAAAATCGCTGGCCCTGGCAAATGGGCATTAAAACCTATCTAAACCAGTGGAACCCATCTAGTTAACTAAACTAACCTAAAAAGGGCACCTATGGTAAGAGTGCGAAGATATGCCCATGCTCGTCCCAAGACTATAAGATGCGTCATCGGCAAAAATACATCTCTCTCGAGCACAAGCACGCACACACGCACGCGCACACACACACACACACACTTGAACTCCAAATGGAGGGTACTAATCTTTCGAGTACAACTGATGAGTCTCGAGTACAACTGATGAGTCTCGAGTACAACTGAAAAGTCTCGAGTACGATGAGTTTCGGCTCACGAAGCACTCGGTTTCCCTCTAGAAGCGAAAACGTTACTCGAAAGAACAAGAAGCACAAACAGCGCCGCAACCAAGGGGGCCAAAAAGACATTCAGAATCACTTGCAGGTACAGGAGTTTGCGTCCAAACTCCCTTCCGGCTCATTCTCACAGCTTCATTGGCACGGCTAGAGAATGAGCTGCCGTGCCCCCTGCATGAGAAATTGTGGTGGCAGGGTATTCTGCCACTCCGCACACACACACACACGCACAGACACACACCTGCACACACATCATATCCACCAGTTGAAGGTATGTTCGTGATACATCTAGACGTTAGCAAAGCTTTCTTGTGTTGATGCCAGCACTTTCTGGAATAATGGCCCCCCGGCCTAATTATTCAGTCTCACCCAGCTTTTCGCGAGACTTGCCTTTAAATTGAAAAATAACAAACCCGAGGGCAATCTGTTCTTTGAAGGCTCTCACGTCCCGCTTGACAAGAAGCACAGCTGGAGTCAATTACCAAGCATGCTGCATGTCTATAAGCATCAGTGTCGATGACAACATAATGTTCAATCAAATAGGCCATAACAGTCCCACCAAGGGGACCTACTGCAAGGCCTCCCCGAACTGTTCTTCCCCGAGAAGAAACTCTACCAGCTGAATGTTTCTCAGAGCTTTGGCTGAGACTTTAGAAACTTCTTGCCAGCTTCCGAAGCCCAAGCCAACAATATCTAAACATGTTGCAGGCCTAAAAAAGCAAACTTCCGGAACAGTCATCGCCAAGGTGCGAGGATTGGCCGGAATGATTGACCTAGTTGCGGGGAACCACACAGTCAAGAGTGTCTAGCAGTATGCTTCATTTTGGATTTATGATGTGTATTTTACTATATATATATATATATTTATATATATATTCCAAACACAAACATAGAACCTGCACAGGGTTCCTGGAAGACCATGATCCTTTTAATTTTTGGGGACCCCTATGCAGGTTCCATGTTTGTCGGTGGGGGCAGTCTGAAGAATTTGAGTTGGGGTTGAGGCTGGTTTTATTTGCTCTTGCACCAGGGTAAAAGTGGATGGCACAATTTCCAGTATTTGGGTAAGGGGATGACTAACGCCAAATGAAAGGGGGGAATTGTGCCATTTACTTTCACCCAGTTGCACCACATGCACATTCCCATGCAGCTTTCCCCTCTAAGCCTCACCTCCGCATCCATCTCCCGGAAGACTCGCTTCACAGAGTCTGGGGCCATTCTCAGCACCAGCTCTGCCCGTTCCTGACGAACGGATCGCCGATGGACCACTTGGAAGGGGTAGGGGCATAGCACATAGGGCCAAGTACTTGATGCTTGGGCTAGGGCATAAGCTAAGGTTGCAATTTGATGGGATTCGAATGCAAGTATCCAGAACTGGCGGCTTTCTCAAACGGGGCTCGTCTTTGCACACGGGGCCAGGAGTGCTTTTCATCTGCGCGTGAATTCGGAAACTATATTTCCACGCGGCAAGGCTTTGCGGCAGCCTGCCTCCCAAAACCAAGTTAACAAGCATTTATGCTCGAAACTCACAACCGAGCTAGGTAGGGTTGCGACCCTAAGCGTGCTCGCTTCGCGCTCGGTTCGCGCTTGTGCTCGGTTCGTGCTCAATTGGTGCTCTGCTCTGCCGGCTCGCGCTTGTGCTCGGTTCGTGCTCAATTGGTGCTCTGCTCTGCCGGCTCGCGCTCTGTTCGTGCTTGGGTTGTGCGCAGGTGGCGCTCTGCTTGGGAGGCTCGTATTTGGATCGGGCCCGGTTCGGCCCGGTTCGTGCCCGGTTCGTGCCCGGTTCGAGCCTGGTTCGTGCACGGATCGCGCACGGATCGCGCACGGATCGTGCCCGGTTCGTGTCCGGTTTGCCCGGCTCATGCCTGGTTCGTGCTCGGTTCGTGCCCGGTTCGCGCCCGGTTCGTGCCCGGTTTGCGCCCGGTTCGTGCACGGATCGCGCGCGGATCGTGCACGGGTCGCACCCGGATCGTGCCCGGTTCGTCCCCGGTTCGTGCCGCTCGTGCCCGGTTCGCGCTCGGTTCGTGCACGGATCGCGCACGGATCGCGCACGGATCGTGCCTGGTTCGTGCCCGGTTCTTGCCCGGCTCATGCCCGGTTCGTGCTCGGTTCGTGCCCGGTTCGTGCCCGGTTCGTGCCCGGTTCGCGCCCAGTTCGTAAACGGTTCGCGCACGGTTCGCGCCCGGTTCGTGCACGGATCGCGCACGGACCGCGCACGGATCGCGCCTTGAGCGGTTTTCTTTTAAATTGCTAGTGGACATATTGCTGTTTAAGGCGTTTGTGCCAGGTGGCACCCTGCAGCGCCCTTGCGTCACACTTTGGGATATATGCAGGTATTCTGTGACAAACCTTCTGACTTCACTGCCATGCTACACAAAACCACGCATCTTTGGAAAGCTCTCTGGAGGCCGTCTCGCACACTATGGCTTTGCATTGCCCGCGCTTGCCTGCGAAACAAAACATTGGCCTGTGCGCAAACAAAAAAGCACTCTGGGGTCTGTGATGCCCAGTGCTATCAAAGGCAAGCCCCGTCAAACAAGGAACCAGAACTAGCTCGTACCGATCGGACATTTGTAGATTATGGCGTGGGGATTTGTGCGGCTTGGATGTTGGGTGATGCCATTGGTGTGGACAACTGGTCTGGCAAGGCAGCTTGGCTTTCTCATGGTGGTGCTGAGATGCCCAGTGGATTTCCGTGGGAGAAAGATTTGGCATCCGTTTTTTGGTTGGCTGACTTTACAAGGGGAACCCTTCCAAAAAAAAGAGAGTTTAAGAAACAATAAGAGGAAAACGGGGCACCCCTGGGCAACTGGGGGGCTTGATGCATCAAACATGTGGCTGGGAAGATTTGGCTCGAGGTTTGTTTTAGAGATCTAATATTCCAGTTGCCGTGGCTGAGATGCATAACAATTACTCCCAAAAATACTCAAGCTTGACTAAACTCAAATACAGCAGCTGGCTAGGCATTGAAGGCAAACATCCAGAAAACCACCCTCAAGGGAATCATGGCCTGAATGCTTTCTGACGTGCACCATGGAGCCCCGCAAACACAAAAGAGCCAAGAAGACAGGAACCGTTACTCGTCTTGGCTGCAGTTTGCCCTGCAGCCGTTGTACGCCTCTCGCCGAGAAAGTGACCCTCCCCTTGCCTCAGCGGTCTGTCGCCGCCTCAGCTCCTTGTCAAGCTCCCGCATATTGCGGAGTTCTGCGGGCGGATCTCGGATGGCCATGTCCCATTGGCTGCTCTGGCAAACCAGCCAAAAAAAGCCTCAACAAGAACACACACACACACAGAGACACTGACACTGACACTGACACAGACGCAGACGCAGACGCAGACGCAGACGCAGACGCAGACGCAGACGCAGACGCAGACGCAGACGCAGACGCAGACGCAGACGCAGACGCAGACGCAGACGCAGACGCAGACGCAGACGCAGACGCAGACGCAGACGCAGACGCAGACGCAGACGCAGACGCAGACGCAGACGCAGACGCAGACGCAGACGCAGACGCACACACACACACACACACACACACACACACACACACACACACACACACACACACACACACACACACCCACCCACCCACCCACCCACCCACCCACGCACACGCGCACGCGCACGCGCACGCGCACGCGCACGCGCACGCGCACGCGCACGCGCACGCGCTACGCGCACGCGCACGCTGCGCGCGCAGCGCGCACGCGCACGCACGGCGCACACGCACACACGCACACGCACACGCACACGCACACGCACACGCACACGCACACGCACACCCACACACACACACACACACACACACACACACACACACACACACACACACACACACACACACACACACACGCATGTCTGATATCCAATCGGGCCTAGCTCGATGTGTGTGGACATGGCAAGTTATCCCCAGGGGAAACAGCATCTCCCTCAGAGAAAACGGTAGCTGCCTCAGATTGGATTCAAATAGCCCCTGCGCCTCCTTGCTTGCAGGCTCCGGCGACTCTGTCTATGACCGTCGCAGGCCTTGCGAGGAAACGAGGATGAAAGTCCCCAATATTTCAGTAGGTGGGACATTTTCAGAACATGGGTTTTGAACTGCGAGGAGCGTTCATCTTGACTCACATGTTGGTCGGGCAAGATGCAGCAATGCATGAAATTTCACAACGAGACTCCATATCGAGCCGTATAGTGAAATCATGCTGGGCATTCTGGATTCTCACATCGACAATCCTTGAAGCTTGCAGCAATTCCTGCAGCCAGCAATCGAGGCAACTTCAGGCAAATGAGTATGTCTTTGACCCGGAAACCCCTTTTGGATGGTGTGTCAACATCATGGAAACCACAACGATACTCCACATTCTTGGGCCCGTCTTTTTGAGGGTGGCCGTGTGCTTGTTTCAAGAGAAACCATCCATGGGTTTCCCCCAAAGTACCCGAGCAGAAGCCCTTCGCTCAAGGGTCCGGCACGATGGGGGTAGAGGTGGCCGAGGCTTGCTCCGATTGCCTGCTACTCCGATCGCAACTGCTCCAAGGCTTGCTCCAAATGTGAATCACGCCGGACCCCAAAAAGGAACAGGAAAACAAACGGGCCCAAACCCGGGTCCCTACAAGGACAACAAGAGGACCCAATACCAATGTCATACCGCAACCCAAATGGTTCTGAGAAATGACGAGAAAACGAAAAGGACCAACCCCATGTCTACCTTGTCGCTCTCCTTGATATCACGGAAAGTTGTCCTAAACCCCAGTTTTAGGGAAACTGGCCAAACCATTTTTGCGTCCACTCAGAAGTCCGTACTAGATTGAAGGAAAACGAGCCCAATTTCTGACTTTGACCTGGAGATACAGTCGAACTCAAGGGGGCCCCAGGAGAATGGCAAGCTGCTGCCCGTGTCAGGTGCGAGAACAGGTGGCAGTAGTGATTTCAGGGCTGCACGTGCGATGACTTCAAAGCAAAGCGTTGCAGGATGTCAAAATGACATTTGCACTGACATTTGCTCAGCCTTGACATGTATGCAGTCTGTGGTTGGTGCGGGGTTCAAGACTCAAACGGGAAAGCAAAAGGAAGCGACCGTGCGATGAGTGTCCAGCGACTCGAGCGCAACTGGACATCCCTACCAAGCGCAAACAGGACCCCATGAGGATCCGGGAAATCTGTCAACTATGGCCTGCCCCTGGTTAGTGGTTTGAATCGGTGATTTGGAGATGTTTGGGGATGTTTAGGGGTTTGAACCTCTGGTGTTTGTGGAACCACTTCCTAACCTCGAAACCTCCAAACCACCAAACCAAACCAACAATTTTGCGGGTAATCCTCAGCCAGTGAGGAGCAGGCGCCTGTCCTGGTCTCTTTTCTATAGCTTGGTCACTCCCTTTGATTGAAAATCAACCTTGCAGACATACGCCCTTCCCCTCCCAATGTGTGTGTATTCATAAAATGCATATCCTAGTCCGATGCACAATCAGTGCTTCTGCGGCCGGCAAAGCAAACCTTGCATCTGTGATGCAGCAACATGTCGTGCAAGTACTGGCCGCATGCTGCACTAGTACTCTCCTCGCTCTCACAATCGCGGATGCCTGTTGTACGCAAACTTTGGCGGAGCATTGAACTCGTTCTTGTGGATCGGCTTCAAATGGCAACCGGCCACACGCTGTCTGAACCTGAGCGCGCTCGGCCTTTAGTCTCACTTGGCTCACTTGCGTCTCTCCCAACATAAGCAGCAGCTTTTACTGGGGGGGATCAATTCTAGGTAACACCCACGCTCACTTTCTGGCCTCTCATTCCCGTGCTGTGTTCCGCGCTCATCGTAGTTGGCCGTCGTTGTGATTGCACGCTTTTTGGCGTCATCGACGGCATCCTGGCTGGCGCTTGATGTCTCGCGGAAAGGTTCCCCTTCAGTTGGCTTGGGCAAAGCTGGAGGCTTGTGCCGTCCTCCATGCTTGCTCAAAAACAACACTTTTCGACCAGCTGCATATGCTCGGCGTTTAGCGGAGCATATCTCCTATGCTCCAAAACAACAGACCATGCAACTGGACCCTTCCAGGCATATGCATGAATCTGTGCGGCCTGCCTACATGCTTGCGCGTGCGCAACCTGGTGCTTGTGTTGATTGTGTGTTGGTGTTTGTGTTTGTCTGTGTGTGTTTCAGCGTGCTTCTCTGCGCATGTGTATGTGTGTGTTTGCGTGTTTCCTGGTGTGTGTGTGTAGTGTGAGAGTGTGAGAGTGTGTGCGTGAGTCTGTGTGTGTGTGTGTGTCTGTGTCTGTGTCTGTGTCTGTGTTTGTGTGTGCATGTGTGTGTGTGTGTGTCTGCTTCGTGTGTGCGTGTGTGTCTCGTGTCTTTTTCGTGTTGTATGCGTTTGTGTTGGTTTGTGTTTACTGTGGTTTTGGGTTTGTGTTCTTGTTTGTGTGTGAGAATGTCATGCGCGTGTGCGAGTGTGCGTGTGTGTGTGTGTGTGGGTGTGTGTATGTGTGTGTGTGTGTCTTTGTTGTGTGTTGCGTGGCTGTGTGTGTGTGTGTGTTTTTGTTTTGTTTGTGGATTGTGGGTGGGTTCGTTGGGCAAGTGGGTGGAGGCGCTTGGTGTTGTTGTGTGGTGCGAGGTTGAGTGTTTGTGTGAATGTGCGTGTGTGAGTGCTGTGAGTGAGTGAGTGAGTGAGTGAGTGAGTGAGTGAGTGAGTGAGTGAGTGAGTGAGTGAGTGAGTGAGTGAGTGAGTGAGTGAGTGAGTGAGTGAGTGAGTGAGTGAGTGAGTGAGTGAGTGAGTGAGTGAGTGAGTGAGTGAGTGAGTGAGTGAGTGAGTGAGTGAGTGAGTGAGTGAGTGAGTGAGTGAGAGTGAGTGAGTGAGTGAGTGAGTGAGTGAGTGAGTGAGTGAGTGAGTGAGTGAGTGAGTGAGTGAGTGAGTGAGTGAGTGAGTGAGTGAGTGAGTGAGTGAGTGAGTGAGTGAGTGAGTGAGTGAGTGAGTGAGTGAGTGAGTGAGTGAGTGAGTGAGTGAGTGAGTGAGTGAGTGAGTGTTGTGTGTGTGTGTGTGTGTTGTGTGTGTGTGTTGTGTGTGTGTGTGTTGTGTGTGTTGTGTTTGTGTTTATGCGTGTGTGCTTGTGTTTGTATGTGGTGGATGGGTGGGCGGGATACAGTGGGGTACGATGCAATTGAAGCCGGCGAGGCTCGCTTCCAATCTTCCTTGATGGCGTCGGAAACTTCTGCCTTCATCCGATCGAATTTGAAGCCTTCGGCATCGTACCTGCAGAGCACATATCAGCATCAGCCATGTACTATACTTATCTAAATGAACACCTATGAACTCAAGCCAAACTCTGGTAAGGGAAGTGGACGTGCATGCATCCCCAAGTATGCTTTCTTGGAAGCATTCTCCAACCTCCTTCTTAAAAGGAAAGGACACTGGGGGTCATGCTGCATAAACAAGGTCATGCCGCCACTAACGGCTCGGAGGAATTCACAACCCTGACAAACGCCCAATCAGGATTTCTGGACATCAAATAACTACGGCATTGCTTCCTGCAAGCAATCACGCGTGTCGTGCCGCCATTGGTAATTATGCGAATATCGCCATCGCTCGGGATTCAGCCCGCCCTTCTTCCTAGCATGACACAAGGTGGCAGCCACCTCTGCACGTCTTTGCAAACTTTCAAAGATCCCGAGGCAAGAGAACATTCTTGGCAAACTGCAGCGAACTATGGCTTATTGAAGTGTACGTCATAGCCTGGGAGCCTTCGGCGGACCAGTCATAATTAGCAAGATTCGATGACACACGCTAGGGAATACAAAAGTCCAAATTCGGCCTGCGTGATACTGTGTCCAGGACTAAACTTGCGACTAAACCACACAACAGCAGGCATCCGAGCAACTTGCGCCCCGTACGTTATTACCCCACCCCACCCCACCCCACCCAAGTCACCAAGGCGTCGACCAGAACAGCGGGAAAGGCGGTGGGACGTGTTCGTATAAAAATGTGCGACATGCTCCGCACCGTTAGTGAGCATAAACAAGCATTCCTGGTCTTCAGATTGGCGCATATACTTCATTGTTGTCCTCCATTCCATGACAAACACATGAGTGTATGTCGCAAGCATTTTTGAGCAGCCAATCAGAACAGCTGGCTGTGCGTCAAGGGCCCGCTCTAAGCGCTCCTTGTATGAATCATGTTGGTCGCCTTCATTGTGCCCATATCGAGACCGATGGGTCTGTCGGTACCCTGTTTCTGCTCCTTGTGAGGCCTACAACTGGTTTTTCCAAGTCCAACATTATGGGAAGACTGACCGACATGCCCTCCAGTAGAAAGGAAAGAGCAACCAGCGGCATTGGTTTCGGAGACCTGCCTCCGATCGTTATTAAAACTCCGGGGGCAAAAACACACACAACGCACATTGCAACCTTTCCTCCTTGAGGCTTTTTGCTTGAGGCAATGTGGGGCTTTCTCCTTTCTCCTCACATTGCTTGAGGCTCACTTCTGCAGCCTTTCCTCCTTGATGATCGGCATGCGCTTTGCCGCACGTGCGACGCGTGGCGTTTCTCGCGGTTTGTTTCCTTCCGCCGGAGTTCGGCGCCAGTGAAACTGCCAGCTCTGAGCCGATGGCCACGGGTTAGAAAACCGGGACGCATTCGACTGAAATGGCGAAGTGGGCATGCTTCCTTCAGTGGATGCAGAGCTTGGTATTCTGTCAAACCTGAGCGAAGGAAACATTATGATGCACATGATGCACGCGGTAATTGCAGCTCCCTGTGCATTTGGGGAAAACGAACTAGTTCAAGGATTAATAAATGTGCAGGGTATTTGGATATTGGTGCACATATCACGAAAAAAATGAATTAGTTCAAGGATACACCCACATTCAGGAGTCTTGGATACCGTCAGGTCAATTGCATGTGCAAAACGACGTCTCACCCAATGTACTGCTTGCCCCATCTTTTTGTGACCGGTGTCCCGATGTCTAACACCCAAACTTTCTACATGAGTTGGTTGATGTTTCTCGTCTCTGAAGCCTCCAGCTGCACAAAGCAGGTAGGCACAGGCTTGGGCCAATGACCTGTGCTAAAGCAAAGCTCAGGATTAGTTCAGTGCTGTTTAAAGATCCTCACTTAGGTTTCCCCTTTACATGAGTGCTACCAAACGTTGACCTAGGGCGCGACCTATTCTTCCAACCACAAACCTGTGGCTGGACCTCCATTTCACCTTTGGGTTTGTGGGAGGCTCTTCCGACTTCGTGACCTAGATTCCTGATTGTACCACTGTAGATCCCAACAAACAAGACCCTTCACTTCAGAACAGAAAAAGAAGACGTCACCTTTCGCCTTGATGCCAAAAACAGATCATAAACCGACTTATTCAAAGCAGAGATCCCAAAAACATGTCCCATCCCCCCCCCCCGCTGATTGCACCCACCTGACCGGCGGCATCCTCGCAAGCAGGGATCAAACTCAGCAGCTCCGGCAGAACCACCTGGCGATGGGGCCGGATGGGAGGTTTCTTGGATGGGGAGGGGTTGCTTTGGTGGTTTGGTGGGTTGGTTGGGGGCGTCTTGGATGGGTTTTACTGGCACCATCTTGAGAAACGCCCATATACATGTATACATATATATATATATATACCTCACTTCCTGAGTGGATGGCCCAAACAAGTCCAAACTTTGGGTTTTTCTACTAACTTGGTCTGCCCAAACAGTTGAAAGTCCAGGAACTCCGGAAGTGAGATACCATTCAAGGGTGGTTGCTGGTCCGGATTCATCCGAACTTGACATTACCCGTGAGTGTGTGCCCCTGATGGCTCTAAACCGATATATCTATATACACATATATAGCCCAATAGGGGGGGGCTGGTCCCGCAAATTCGCATATGCCTAGCCAGGGGTACACGACATTCACTGGCCTAATCGCGTGCTTACGAATCCTAGAAGTCCCTGAGGATTCGCCGAGATGAAAGAATGGCACAAGAGAAGAGCCCTTGGTGTCGTTTTTGCCCCCTAGTGGTGTAAGCCATGGGAGTCAGGGCGATTCTCCATTTGATTTAAGGATTGACCTGCACTGGTGGGATTGTTTGTCCTCCTCCTTTAGCCACTGAGTGCCCACAGGTTTGCAAAGGCCTTGCTTACAACCTCCCACTAAACCATCGTAGAACCTCTACGCACCTGGCCATGGGGAGAGGGGGGGTTGGGCGCTTTTCAACTGGGGTGCGTTGCAACGCTCGAACCGCTTTGTGAGAGTCAGATCTACTAGCCCACCAGGCGTTTTTTCTTCTCCTCGCACATCGGGGGGTGACTTGGGGGGGGGCTCCAGTACCCCGTGAAGCCAACGAGTATCTTGCCGCTGAAGAAAGAACCCGTGAAGGCAACTACTCTACCTACTGAGAACATTCTTCCTGAAAGCAATCGAGTCATGGTGATGGCCAAGGGTTTGGATGGCCAAGAGCTGGTACTTTGAGTGAGCCATGAATTTCAGCCAATGGTTCCTGGGATTTGGCTGTGAGGTCTGCCCCGGGTCTTCCCCCACTAGGGCTGGGTCATGGTCAACACGCACTGAAATCCATTGGCGTTTGCTTCTAAGCCATTAGGTTTATGACACCGGCTATTAGAACCACCAGCTACGACTAAATGTTGAACCCCTGTATATATATATATATATATATCAGTAAATATATATATATATATATGACAACTGGTTTCTTTCTATACCACCCTTACCACCTTTATAGCACCAAGTAGGTAGCAGGGCCAACCTTACTCAATAACTTGGTGAGTCGGGCGTTTTCGGGCGCACCTCCGCGTACTGCTGCCGGTTCTCCGTCTCCCGGGAGATCTCCATCAAGTGCGCACCTCCGGGTTTGAAGTCTTCGCATCAGCCAGCGGTTCGTTGGGAACCAGCACCCCCGCCCAACGAATAAGTTGAACATGGCCCCTGGATATATTTGTATATATATATATATGGTCAGGTCCCCCCCCCATGAACTATATATATATATATGTATGCATATATATATATATATATGTATGTATATTATATTTACTGTTTGAGTCTGGCTTCAAAATGAGGTATGTAAAAGCCCAAGCACTAAATGGATTGGCAAACATGCCGGCTTACAATTTCTGAAATGAGCTGGTCACACAACTGGGTGAGCTCACTTTATCCCGTGGTGAGCTTGTCGTTTGTGCAAATGGAGAAGCAGGGTGGGGTGAAGGTCTCCCAATTCCACTTCTAGATTTCTAAGCTTCCCCCACAAAAAGAAACATGTAATAACAAACAAGACTCCAGGGGTCACGCGACTCCCCCGATTCCATTTTGGGGAGGGTGCAAATGGTCCAACGTCCTTCTGACGTACTTGAGGAATCAAGAAAGACAAATAAGCGGGTTAACGTACTTGTGGTTCTGGAACCGGGACATGCGGCCGGTATCTATTTTTCCGAGAAATGGGCTACAGGACAACTCTGCGATATTGAGTTGTCCGCAACAGAAACATGCAACCCAATCCTTTGGTTGTTTCCATGAATATGTATGTTTCAGCTCTTAACCTTGCTAGATGCAGAATGCCGATGGGAAAGTCAGAACCCGCGCCGAACAAGTTGCTGATGCAAATGGGCTCATGCTTGAGGCTACCTGTTTTTGGGTGTTCTGTCTAGAGAGCCAAAGGGACAAACAACATCCAGGAGCTTCGGCAAACGCTCCGATTCGATTGAACAGGTGGCTAAAATGGCAAGCGCACACGAACAAAAACATCGGCGTCTTCTTTGAGGCGCGGTCCCTTTGTGGCTGTGTTGCCGGGGAAGCCAACCGTCAAGGGTCGCCACCACCCCCTTTTGCGCTTTGCAGAAGGCCTCAAGGCAAAAGTTCTGGCGTCTGTTTCTGGCGCTGCCCTTCTGTTTCTGACGTGGCTGTTTCTGACGTGGCAGTTACCCGCACGCATGAAGGCAATCTTGGACAAACTTCACAGGGCGTTGGCGCAAGTGGGAGGTTCTAGAGGCGAAACTAATCCCGAAAAGGCTCATGCACTGTACGCTGCTCCCCCATGCAAATATTATTGAATTCATTCACACCTGTCTTCGCTCGTTCGCTCGCTTTATCTCGCTCTCGCTCTCTCTCTCTCTCTCTCGCTCTCTCTCTCTCTCTCTCTCGCTCTCTCTCTCTCTCTCTCTCTCTTTCTCTCCCTCTCCACAAACAACTCAGTCGTTTCATTCAGTGGTTTCATTTGCTATCTTGCTGAAGCAGTAGCCCAGATCAATCAAGTAGTACTCACATTCACCGCAAAGAACGAAGGACAGGAACTCTGAGACAAATCGATCAGGTGTTGGGCGTGCCCACTGAGCTGTCTCTTTGCTGCATTTGCCACCCTGATGACTCACCCATGAGTATTCAACCTAACCCGCGTGCAACCCGTCCACAAGACGAACCCCCACAAATCATTGCCATGTGTCTCACGGCTTCTGGGTGTTTGTCTCAATATGCCTAGCACCAAACAGGTCCATAAGAGCTTACCTCGTATTGATCGTGGCCATGCAAGAAAACCAAATTTATTTAGTTCCGCACCCAAACAAATTGGAAACACAAAAAAAGTCGTGCCACCCAAAGCTGCCCCTTTTCGCACCCCACCAACCGCCCCACCACAAACGCCGGGCGTCAAGCGATGGATTCCTCGCTTGGGCCCCGAGCCCAGCAAGAGCCGCAGGGCGAAGCGGTCATCATCCAGGTCCCGGGCCTTCCGTGAGGGGGTTTCCACCCCCTTTGGCCGGTAGGGGAAAGTTCCAGAGAACCCGTTGGGCCAACTTCGGAGTCTCCGATTTTGAGAGAGACATATTTTTTCAGGAAAATCGGCACCAGTGAAGTTGTTTTTTTTCAGAGGGGGCTCTCCATGAAAGTTTTCGGAACATGTGACGCTGGCGAGTTCAGCCACTCAAGCTATCCCGACCTCTGAAACGCTTGGGTGTTGTTTCTTACGACATTTGGGACCCCTTCCAGGTTCTTGGTTTCCTTTGGGTCTCTCTTTGCCATAAGGGAGTTCCACATTTTGAGACACGCCCATTGAGGACAGTGGCTCTTGAGACCCCAACTTTGGGCGCATAGACTCGTAGACATTCGGAGCAGAATTGCAAGCTGATGGATGGACCTCTCAGAGCTTATTGCAAATAACCAGGCCAAGAAACAGAAAGCAACATCGGGGATTGCACATGGACTCGAGCCTCGCTGTTTCTGTGCACTTGCTGAGATGGCGGCTTCCTGCTAACGCTTCAAAAGCCTTCCATCTTGAAAGCCTTCGGCTTCCTTTCTCTCGGTTTGCTTCTCAGTCGGAATCCCAGGCTTTGGGAATGAATCGTTTGAGATCTTGGGAAACCACTTGGATGCTTCAGTTCGGGGTTCCAGTTCCAAGTCATTGAGTCATTGAGAAACATCAAGTCAATGGAACGGGCTCTGGACTCTCACCAAGATGCCGCAGACAAAATGGGTATGTCATGTCAGGGCACCCAAAAACTGGTGGGGTTTGCTTTTACAGTCCCCCTATGACAACAAACGAGGGCACTCTCAACAACAGACGCCCTCAAATGGATTCCCAGCCGGAAAGTCAGGATATGCTCAAGGAGGACCGGTGGATTTGCCAGCCGACCTGCTTATTTGATGCACGGCTTCATCCAAGCAGGTTCAGGCCATTTCAATGGCGACTGTGCTTAGTGGCGTAAGAGAAGCCGCTCCGCACCCAAACCCACGAATGCACACTGAGGAAGCAGCAGCTGGGCTCGTCTTTGCCTGGCAGGTGAAGCCTAGACTCACACGCCGCATCTCTCTTGAGGCCTAAGCAGAACGGAAATGGTACGCAAAAGGGAAACACCAGTTTGGCCCCCTTCCAAATGAGCCATGGTCAAAATATGCGCTTTCCGTACTGGACATGGATCAATTGGTGCCAAATTGTTGCAGGAAAATTATTGTCCCCGATGTCACCTCCAAATTGACCACAGTAGACTACCAGACAGTTTTTTACCCAGTGTTGCAGCGGTTTCACTTCCTGAACGCCTTACAATTACCTGCAGGCAGACTTTTACGTGTGACTGTAGTGATGCTGGGGCTGCAGCCGACCAACCAGCCAACCAATCAGACCTAAACAAAACAGACCTAGTGAGGAAAACACATAAGAAACACCTAGTTCTTCGTTCACCACGCTCCGGAAAATCTCGCAGCTTGCATTTTCAGTGTACACGTGCTTAAAAGCAAATACCAAACAATACACATTCTATGTGCACATTTACGCGCATACATGATAGATAGCTATCTTCTATGCTCCAAAGGCATTCTGCCTCGGGGGCAAAAATGCGTCTCGGAAGAAGACCATTTCCTCTGGTCAGGGAACCTGGCGTGCACTTGCATGTTGGGCAACCCAGACTCGTGGCAGTGGAGAAAAAGGGGCACCTATTCTTTGGTAGTTGAGCTTGATGGGCCACCACTTCCAAAAACAAAAACTGAAAGGGTGCCGCTGGACGTTTGGAGCGCCTGGGATTCGCCCGAAGCTTAGCTTCGCCATAACGTGCCGGCACTCACAGGGCAGACAGGCCATGATAGATTGTCCAAATCCTGCGCTGATGCGAAAACTTTTTGAAGCAAATCTGGCGCTTGCAAAATGAGCTGCTTTGAGATGGCACCCTTTTGGGTTGCAAATGGAAAGCAAAAGGAAATACTCATTGTACCGGGCCATTATGGGGTTCCCCATTTGCATTTGGAGACAAACTCAAAAGAGAAGAACAAAAACCAGCAAGACACACACGACGTTCAACACGAAGCACCAGACCCCACTTCAAGCACCAGAGCCTGAGGGTGCAAATAAAGATCAAAATGCTGTGCCCACCTTCTTGGAGTGCGTTTGGAAGGTGGGAGGACCAGGCATATTTGGAGAATCTGAACATGTTAAATAAGATCAGCAAACATCCCAGAAAGAAACTCAGATGCCCAGCGGCCATGGAAAAAAAGAATTGGCAGCCGTTGTTGGTTGGTTAACTTTAAACCCTTCCCAAAAAATAAATAAATAAAAACAAGCACCACTAAACAACTAGGGAAAAAGAGCTTCCAAACACCCAAATGGCTCCCCCCAATTCTCTGGAGGCACTGAAAGGCTTAATACTGTGGATGGACAAAATCCTTCACCACCTGAGAAATCCTGGAAGGATGATTGCCCTTGAAATACCAAAGACAAATGGTTTCCCATGGTTTCAAAGTGGTGCAGCATTTCATCCATCCACAGTAGGCTCCCGATCTCAAACAATGCGCCCTTTATAGGGTTCCGCATGTCTCCTTCACCGAACCAACCAAAGCAGGGCTGTGAATTGCCAATCTTTGCAACATTCATGCACGGCCTTCATGCTGACAACTAGCATGATTGTGATTCGAATTTGAACTGGCCCCGGCCCCGGCTAGCGTCTTTGGGACCCTGTAACAGGGCTTCCTATATATTTCCCGAACAAAAACAAACAGCACCCCGCTTTTTCGGAACACTTTTTTCCGCAAGAGGTGATGCTTTTCGGCCACCCTGAAAAAAAGAACTCAGGACAGAGCTGCTTGATGCCTTCCCTTCATGGGCCCTCAAAACTTCCCAACACCTTTCCTTGGTTGACGTTGGAAGGGGAGCAAAATTTAAACCTCAGCAGTTCAGTGGCTGGATTTCAACCACTAAACCACAACAAGTGACAATAAGCAACAAAGGAAAAAGTGCTTCCCAACACCAGCCATGTCCTTTCAACAAATTCTGGGCCCTGCTAACTGATGCATTCCTGGGGCCCTCAAAAATCACAAAAACCTTACAAAACCTTTCCGGCGAAGGCTCAGGGTGTCGTCCCCATCAGAGGTCACCGCCGCCAGGACAGTCGTGGTATGCTCCGACTCCGCCAGCCCGGCGTGCTCCACCTAGGATTGGGGGGGGGGGGCCCGGTGCGGCGGGGTCTGAAGGAAGGGATTGGTCTGTAAAAGGGTTGCTCCCCCCCCACCAATTGGCATGGAACCGTCATTGTCCAATCTGCCACCATGTTTTCGAATGACACTGTTTCTGTGGACCCGCTTGAAATATCCTGGCAAAACATCGGGTCTTAACGGCTTGGACGGCTAGTTTGGTTCGAGCCAACCACTGAACAACATAGAAATGACTAGTTGAATAACACATTGTTTTGGGCAATCAGCGGTGCATGGCTGGTGGTGGTCAAATGTATGACCTTGACCCCCACGGTTGGCACTGCCGCAGTGAGTATAAGCTGTTCCCATCATGGACATTGGAGATTAGTTGGTAGTAGGTTGCTGTTGGAAATTTAATGTGTTCCTCATCATGAAATGACCAAGCCCTTTCTGGAACTTGTTTAAACCACCTTTGTTGACAACCAGTTTTTCGTGCCCTTCACAGGCAACCAGGGCCCTTTTTTGAACAATTGTTGCCCAACCCTTCTGCATGTATTTTGAGCGGATCTCGCCTGCACGTCCAGAACAACAGACTGCTGGCAGCCGTTCATCTCCCCCGCGTGGTGGAAGGACGCGTTCAGACCGTGCAGCGAGATGGTGTACCACGGGAAGAACTGGAGTTGCTCAGACGATTTACGCACTTGCCTTGCGCACCCCTAGTAGACAACAATGAAGGCTGCTAGGTTACAGTAAAAACCTACCCAAAACCAAAGTCTCTGAAACCTGAGGTTCGACAAAACGTGACGTTCCAGATACCTCCTTCGGACGTATTAGATGTAAGGCATGGATTAAAGTACTTCCCTAAAGGCAATCGGATCCTCCGGGCGAACCGTCTGAGTTCTCAATTGCGACGCGTCATGGTAGCCGCAACGAGAAGATGAGAAGATTAGTTTGCTTTGGATCAACTGAGTTCGGAACACTACAGGTCATTGAATTGTTACTCAGAACTGCGTGCAGAGTGGCTTGACATTGCCGAGATGCACGACACGTACACCACAGATCTGCTCACATGGCTAATTTATTTGCGTCGTGCACCTCAGCAATGATCCAATAAACACCTGCGTGGAGAAACTGAAACGATGCCCCACTGAAAATCACTGCAATCCGACTTGAAACATGGTGCCTTGCTCCAACACATCTTCCACTGGTAGGGGGATGCCACGAATATCTAAAGCCACCTGACTGCTTCGGGGTCAAAGCTTTCAAGCAGGAATGTAGAACTGAGGAAAATATGGAACCCCAGCAGGCTCGAAGAAAGACATCACACAAATATTTGATCTCATTTATGCCACCGCCTCTGCAGCAGACCCGGATATGAACTCTTGCAGGGCTGGGCTTGCGCATACCTCACCAGGTTTCGGACAAAAAAACAACCGAAACGAAACTTGCTACTCGCATGCGAACCCGTGTGAACGCGGTGTGTCTGTGTGTCTGTGTGTCTGCGTGTCTGTGTGTCCGTATGCCGTGTGTGTGTGTGTGTCCGCGTGTCCGTGTGTCCGTGTGTCTGTGTGTCTGCGTGTCTGGGTGTCTGTGTGTCCGTATGCCGTGTGTGTGTGTGTGTGTCCGTGTGTCCGTGTGTCCGTGTGTCGGTGTGTCGGTGTGTCTGTGTGTCTGCGTGTCTGGGTGTCTGTGTGTCTGTGTGTCTGTGTCTCTGTGTCTCTGTGTCTCTGTGTGTCTGTGCGTCTCTGTGTCTGTGTTCTGTGTGTCTGTGCGCGTCTGTGCGTCTGTGTGTCTGTGTGTCTGCGTGTCTGCGTGTCTGTGTGTCTGTGTCTTTGTGTGTGTCTGTGTGTCTGTGTGTCTGTGTGTGTGTGTGTCTTTGTGTGTGTCTTTGTGTGTGTCTTTGTGTGTGTCTTTGTGTGTGTCTTTGTGTGTGTGTGTGTGTCTGTGTGTGTGTCTTTGTGTGTGTCTTTGTGTGTGTCTTTGTGTGTGTGTCTTTGTGTGTCTTTGTGTGTCTTTGTGTGTCTTTGTGTGTGTGTGTTTTGTGTGTGTGTGTGTGTCTGTGTGTGTGTGTGCGTCTGCGTCTGCGGCTGCGTCTTTGTTTTTGAGGTGTACAAAAACAAACACACACACACAAACACAGACACAGACACAGACACAGACACAGACACAGACACAGACACAGACACAGACACAGACACACACACACACACACAAAAACACACACACAAAAACACACACACAAAAACACACACACAAAAACACACACACAAAAACACACACACACAAAAACACACACAACAAAACACACACACACACACAAAAACACACACAAAAACACACACACACACGCAACAACACACACACACAACACACACACACACACACACACACACACACACACACACACACACACACACACACACACACACACACACACACACACACACACACACACACACACACACACACACACACACACACACACACACACACACACACACACACACACACACACACACACACACACACACACACACACACACACACACACACACACACACACACACACACACACACACACACACACACACACACACACACACACACACACACACACACACACACACACACACACACACACACAAACACACACACACACACACACACACACACACACACACACACACACACACACACACACACACACACACACACAACAAACACACACACACACACACACACACACACACACACACACACACACACACACACACACACACACACACACACACACACACACACACACACACACACACACACACACACACACACACACACACACACACAAACACACACACACACACACACACACACACACACACACACACACACACACACACACACACACACACACACACACACACACACACACACACACACACACACACACACACACACACACACACACACACAACACACACACACACACACACACACACACACACACACACACACACACACACACAGTACAACCAAAACCGGAGCCCCGATTGCCTGCCACACACTGGACTTGGGGCGTTCCACACCTGGTGTGGAAAATCACCGGCTCAGAACCTTGTGTTTGGACGACCAAAACAAGGGGGCTAGTGTTTGGCTTGCATACGGGGTGCAACTTGCTGACCCTGGGACGGTTTGCTCACAGGTTGATGCTGTCAAAGGGACCCTGTGTCAAGCTTTCCCTTTTCCTTTTGGCCCCATAACACTGCAAAAAATGGGGAACCCGACATGGGCAGCCGCAAGAATAAGCACAAGCCCACTCAAGCACAAACACATGGCCACGGGTCAAAACCCAAATCGGACCCCCCAGTGAACATCCCAATCCAACCACTAAAATAGGTTCTAACACGGGTGGCAAATTCACCTACTCTACCCCAAAATGGGATCCCATTGGTTTTGACCACCACAGCCACATGAGACGCCGCCGTTACCGCACTGCCAACACTTCGCTGGGCCACTTCCTGCCAATTCGGCAGCAGCTTCTCCAAGGCAGTTCCCGGCGACTGGAAGCTTTCCTGAGCGACTGTGGACAGAATCCGTTCGCACCACGAAATGAATCCATGGTTGAAACCATTCCCTGTTGGTATTTACGGGGCATGATCCTTCCAGGTCTTTTTTAGGTGGTGCGAAATGGATTTCGCCCATCCACAGCAGGAAGACAGACGAAACAAATCCATCCTTTCGCGGAAGTGCGCAGGAGGGCTTGTGAAGGTGGAGTCGGTACACATGGCAAATTTGAGCTTCCAACTTGTCTTGCGGACAGTCCCGCCACTCGGTAAGTGGCAAACCTGGCCCTCGCCAAGAGGGAGACAGGCCACTTGATAATTAAAGCGGGGGGGCGAGGAATGGGGCACCCGTTTGGCAAACTATCAAAAAACTTTGACTTTAACCCCTCAAATTGCTCATGCAGGTTCTTTCGATCTCCTGTAGGATCCATGGTGACCTAGACAAACCACCAGAATAACCTCTTCTCAATCATGGAATCTGATACCAGTCCAAAGTCCCAATTTGCACAATGTTGCGTTTGTGAGACGACAATCACATCGCAGCAGGCAAGGGAGCGAGGCTTCTTCTTGGGACTGGGGCAGCCGTGCCCAAAAACCCGTTTGGGTTCTACCCAAATTGCTTTTGGCTTTCTCACTTTACCCAAGGGACCCACAAAAATAAAAGGTCCACCTTTTGATTTTGGGGCCATGACTAAACGTGGACCAAACCAGAAGAAGACCAAAGGTGAACACCGAGTCGCATGCTAAAATTTGGCCCTTGCGGGCTGCTTGTGATCCTCCCCTTAGGTCCAAATGCGGTAAACTTCTTGTGAGTCTCCAAGGGCACGGTCTGCAGCTCTCCCTTGGAGTCCAGCGCTGCGACTGTGCAGGCCGAGTCCTGGAAGATTTACGGAGTTGTCTGTGGGTTTGGGGTTGAGCGTGGGTGGTTTAATTGCAATATTTGGGGCATCCACCGCACTGGTTGGATTGAAGGGGGAACCAAAAGGACAGCCACCATTTTGGGGGATCCCTCTTTGACACATTAACAGACCAGCCCTCTGAAGGATTCGCACAAACCACCCGAACCATCAAGACCTGATTTGCCCCTTCTCGTGGGCCCAGACTGAAAAAAAGCCCAAAGCCCTGGAGAGCCTTTGGGTTGCTTTGCAGCGATTCGGTGACTAGCCGTGACATCCGTCCTGCACACCCCTTCCCTCAATCGCACTGCGCTTGTGCCTCTCTTTCTTTTGCGTGAATGACTATACCCACATTATCCTATGACTCATCATGAATTCGTTTAAGTGCCCCACAACCCTCATTATAATGCTAAGCCCGCGGAAGGGAGCAGTTCGTAAAGAAGGCCGCGGCTCTGCCTCGGGAAATCTCAATAGGTTTACCTGTTTCCAAGTCGAGTTGGACCAAGCGAAAGGTTGGATTCGTTAAAAGGTCGATTCGCTTTCGATTCTCTGACTTCTACGTGACTGAATTAAAACGACTCGCTCATATTTCAGCTGTCCCTCTTTTTTTGTGGGGGGACCAAATTGTTGGTGGCTTTAAAGGAACACCAAAAGAAAAACCACCATTTGAGGAGGGGGGTCGGGGGTGGTCCCCGCCCCAAAAAACACAGCTGCCCATGCTGTCCTTGAAAAGGGTAAGGTCGCCCTCCTCCAAGGGCAAAGTGAGAGTCATGGGCGTCATGGTCTGGGGCCTTCCAGCGAAGTGCCGTCCAAGACAAACCAAGGGTCCAAGTGGCGAGACGAACTGTGGACAAAGGGGCCTGTCTTTGGTGAGCATTTAAAAAAGCGTGAATCCAAGAACTTAACTCTTTTTTTAAGTCTCACATTTCCAGAAATCATCTGAAGAACTGCCGGGGTTGGGGGGGTTGGGTTTTGGGGTTTTGGCTTGGGATGCGAGTTGGTGCGCCTCAGCAGCTCGCGCTGCCTCAGCAGCTCTGCCCAAAGCAGGTGAAGATCATGTAGGCCACCCGACTCCGATGGCTCCACCGAACTATGTGCCTCGACCAGGAGCTCGTGCTTGCCGAAGTCGAAAACCAAATGGTTCAAAGGTTTCATTGATGGGCTCACTTTCTCGTTGGGCCTTAGGAAGCTTTAAGCACTTGCATGGAGAGAACTTGCCTTTGCCAGAGTTGAAGGAATTTGAAGGAACACACACGCGCACACACACACACACTTAAGTTGAGATATAGGAACACAAGGAAAAAAAAATAAAGAAAAACAACGGACGCTGGACAGCTCAAAGGGCGGGTCTTCAGAGCAGTCTCCACATAGGCAAACAATCTCATGTTGCTCAGGCAAGTAGGTCTCCTCAGGGTGTGTTGCAAAATGTGCATAGTCACCTGTGTAACAGCCAACCCCTGGTCTCCTTTAAAAAGAAACCAACAAATGGTGGCTTGGACAATCGGTGCATAAACATGGGTTCGACCACAAAACCACAAAGGGTGTATCTTCCATGTTTCCGTACTACACAGGCTTTTGGGGTGGCTCGTTTTTCATGTCGTATAAATCGCCCTTGTCCTCGCCCCTGGCGACTGACACAACATCCAGTCCCGGAGTGCTCTCCGACAGAAGCCCAGACAAGTACAGCGACCAGTCAGGTTCCACCTCTGAGTAGTCTGAGCTTGAGCTGCTGGGAGTATCGCAGTCCCTTGCCTCGGTTCTCAGGGAACTCAGGGAATCGCTCGACAGGTTTTGTCGGCCGGAAGGGGCTCGATCCCTGGAAATTAAAAAAAAAACGGAAAGGGAGGGGCAAAAAAAACAACAACACGGAGGGGGACTATATAAACTCCTGGATGATTGAGGCGTCCCATGCTTGATCGATCACGAGTGCACCAACCACATATGTGCAGGCTTTGTTTCTTTCTGCAACCTGCAAGAATATGAAATCAATTAAGGAGACCCCAGGTTCCCTCATTCAGGGGTTCTACATTTCCCCCTGAACACATCAACCATACCAAAGCAAATCCAACTGAATGGGGTCCAAAACACGATGCTTGAAACAACCCAAACGGTAAATTAAGAGAAACAAACACTGTCCTTCCCCCTTTTCGATTCGCCCGAGACGCACAGCGGTAGGCTTTTCGCACCTTCCTGTTGAAGTTAGGCAGCGCATAGCTGTCCACAGTACCATCACCCCGCAAGTCCCCACCAGACTCATCCACAAACCTTGGCTCCTTGATTCACACAGGCCAAGGGGGCCCCGACCACAGTCCCTAGGCTTTCCATCGTCTAAAGCTGCAGGTGTGCATAGGGAGCGCGGGGGTGGTGTGTTTGGGGGTGATAGGAGAAATTATTTCTGTAAGTCTTAAGATTCTAAAGGCTATAAGATATCCCCACGTAAATAATTTGGCAGGGTGAGCTCGTTTTATCCCCCTGGTGACCTACCAGATTCTTCCTTTTTGGCAGTTGTTTCCTTTCTCGGGAGGTTCAAACACAACCTTTTGCGCCAGTCGAAAAAGGGTTTTCTTGGGGTGATGTCTCTAAGCGGCAAAGAAAAGGGACACCGTGCAAGCGAAACCTTTAGGAGGTGCCAAGAACGACTCTAAACTTGAAAACTCTAAAACTCTATGGGTATGGCCAAGTCATGAGTCACATCATGAATGCTCAATTTAGACAGAACTCTGTTTATAATTCCCGGGTCTAAGTTAAAGCCAATGTACGATGTCCATTTTCCCCAAGAAAGATATTGTCCCAAACTCTAAGATGTAGCGTATCGCAAAAAACTGTGTGTGTGTTCAACACAACTAGGAAGCCGTATGGAGCGCTTTCTCTCCCGAGCAGCCCTTCGGTTTTCATGGCGGCCAGCAGGTCGACCGATGATGCGCAAGGCAAAGCGCCGTGCTGTAGCACCAGGTGCGACCTGTCCACCGCCTTGGAAAAATCCTGCAGTGGATCTCCCGTGCGAGAAGCGACGTTGTAGATGGCCCCGTAGCCTCGAATACCAAAAGCCTAACAAAACACGCCCTCTCATCTGGCCCGTAGCCGGGTAAAGATTGAATCGAGTGAAGTTCGTGTCAATTTGGTTCAAGGCAGCCATGGTTAACATTCATTCAAAACCTAGGCGACCTAGGATTTCATTACTTCCTTTCATCATATAGGTCAAGGGAAAAGATCTCGTGGCGTTCCCTTAAAACCCCGAAAATACTGTGGATGGACAAAATCCTGCACCACCTAAGAATCCCTGGAATGATGATTCCCCCACAAATACCAACAAGCAATGGTTTCCCATGGTCTCGAAGTGGTGCAGGCTCTTGCCAATCCACAGTATGGGTGTCATCAGAAACAGACACACCCATGGTCCCGAGAAGGTGACGAAGGTCCCAGTAGCAAGGTTTGGACTCGAAGACGTCTTGAAGGATCTGCGGCAACGGCACCTTCCGTCGAAACTGAAAAAACCCACGTCCCAATGGCCACAAGGCCTTTTTTTGGAAAGCGCGGGAAATGGAATCCACTGTGATACAACAGAAAGGGCCTAACCCCAGAGACATTTCCCTCGCAAGGGCGAGATTCCCAAAAATATCACAGAAGTGGTTGGATAAACCCTTTGATCCCACAACCCCCAACAGGAACCAGCCTAGACAATTTGTGGATCTCCCAAGGGTCCCCAAATAGAATTCATAAGGAATCAAAACACTGCCTGGAGATCTGGGGCGCAGCGGCGACTTTCTGAGTGGATGGATCGAAGTCCACAGTATAGAGACCCTCACCTCCGTCCCACTCCTCATACGCTTTGTGCCCGAGTAGATGAAGCGCATACATGGCCGCCACTCGCAGATGGCCCGTGCCTGGCAAGATAGCACACACAGAAAGTGATAAATCCTTGTGCCAATGATGTGCTGGGAAAATGCCCCTGCTTCAGAAAGCCCAAAGGTTCTCGGTCAAAACGGCAGTCAAGGCGCTATTGGTGCTAGTGGTGCTGGTGGTGCTAGTGGCGCCACTGGCGTCTCCGGCTGCTCCCTTCAGGCGGAATGCAGCGACGGGGCCTCTGAGGTGCACCAACTCCGGCATGGCAAACCCCAGGTGCCGCTCAAGCAGCGGGTTGGGCGCCAGAGGCACGGCCTCTTGAGCAGTCCACTTTCGGCTGCAAATCTCAGATTCGGAGTCCTTGCTGAGAAGTACACATTGCAAAAGACCCGACTCCATGTGAAAAATACAGCCTCTGAAAAAAAGTTCGAGACAATTACCCATCCCCCTTTGGCTTCCTTTTTGAGAAGCCCCAGAAACATGTTGACAAGTTGAGCACCCAGTTTCTGTTTGGCTGAACAAAAATCTCGGGAAGCGCCACAAAACGACGAGGGATGCCACTTTCTTCTGGGACTCTGGCGGCGGGCCGTTGGGATGGAAGTAGCGGTAAGACAAGGCTCTTTCCTTGGTCGACGCTGCCAGGGGAGCAACCATTTAAAAATCTTAGCAGTCAAGTGGTTGGATTGCAACCGCTAAACCACAATAAGCAAAAAAAACATGTTTCTGAGTGAATTTTAGTATTTCACCAACCTGAAATAAGGTGGTTGGGGGGGTCCTTCCCCACATAAACCACCATTTGGTTGGTGAATTCGGTCGCTTTTTGGTCGCTTTTTGATTCACCCAGATGTTTCCCAACAGCGCCATGTCTCGTAGAAGTCGTTGCTCGGCTCGCCTCGCAGCTCCTTCTGCTGAGCTTCCCGGAACCAACGCAAGGCTTGCATATGATCCTAGGCGGAAGCCGCTCAACTCGGGCGACAAATGGGCAGACCCCTTTTCTGATACCCAGCTTGAGGTGGTTTTAAATGGTACCAACAAGGAAAACCCACTCACCTTTTTGGGGGCCGCAAAAAAAAACCAGCCAAATATGAATTTCTAGTTAACTTGACCAAAGACTTCTCACAAACAAGGAATTCATGTAGAAATTCGTCTAGCTGTCTTGGATTCTCCACTTCACTTGTGCTCAAGTCAAACGATTCCAGATGTTTGCTTGCATTATTGTTAGGTCTTCTTTAGTTGGGTTGACCAGTCAGGCAGAAAAGAAGAAGCCTCAGATGAAAAATAAAAGTAGAACGGATTCGGAGACTGAATTCCACCTGGGGCGCAATTTGAAAGGACTGGTTTGGATTGTCAGCCCCAAAAGAAAATCAGAGCACGGGTTCTAATTCTAAACGGCCTCTTTCAGGGTTCGCCCTTTGTCCGCTTACAATCCCGTCTAAACTAACGTGTTCTAAACAACGTGTTTGATGCTCCGACTGTGGATCCCCCGAATTCTTGCAGTCATCTGGTCTTTTATCGCGTCTCAAGGCAGAATCCACAGCATCAACCAAAAACCCTACAAGAGTGTGTCGTTCCTTTGAGGGTCCCCAAGATGGTCCGGTTTTCTCGTGGTTTCCCTTCAATCATCTTCTAAGAAAGGGTCCCCACCAAAACAAAACAAAACCAAAGACGTCTATCCGAAGCAGGCATCTCTCCGTTCCTCCGGTGTCAGCAGCACTCGGGGCAACGAAGCCCTCCTGCGAAACCAAATCTCCAAGCGGACGAAGGAGCCCCAAAGCGGAGTTGGTGGTCCTTCGTGTTCTTTTAGTGTACGCTGGGCCTTTTCGCTTAAAGGGAAGCCCAAAGAAAACCCCAAATGATGGGTCTGCCTAGCCTGCTAACAGGGAATCACCACCTAAAAGGGAGAGGATTTGTCTCGTCCCAAGGGACACACTGAACTTTGCATACAGTTCCAGGTCACCCCCTCCACCATTCCGCGCTACCTCGGCTCTTGCCCCCAACCAAACATAACATGTGGGTGTGTTGTTTCAGGGTACGTACCTCTTTTTTGAACCAAAACCGCCATGGGGGTTCCTTTCCTTTGACCTCATGTCATGGGATTCTAAACTGGTGAACCTCAAAATGCAGAGCCCCCCGCAACGGAAGAACTCTCAAGGGTTCCACCTTTCCGGGGGGGTTAAGGAACCTCCAGCTCCCTCCCACAGAGGCTTCCATATCCATTTCCAGTTTGGCGACCACATCTGGGATACACCAAACAGAATCTTATCAGATTCTGTCTCATATTCAGCCTGTCCTCAAATTCGACAAGTTTTGGAGAAGACCCCAGCAAAGGAGAACATGGATCTACGAATTCAATCCCCAATGGACCATGTTCAAGGGTGTGGTGGTCGCAGGCAGGGTTGGGCCGACAACCTGTTCAATCATGTTTAAGCAACTCTTGTTGCAAACTCCTTCTGGGCCCCTTGAAACAGGGGCCAGGGTCTAAATGCTTAAACGTTTTCTACAGTAACTGGACCGGTGGCTGTGGGAAGAATGAGAATCTTTTTTCAGGAAAGGTGCCCCCTAACCAAAAAGTCCACCAAAACCGCGGCACGCCTCTAAGTCAAACCTCCGCCTCCTTTTGAAGGGTTTCCCGTTTAGTTTCCCTTTTATACCAAGGCGAAGAGTAGCCAGCCCTTCTTAACGACTGCAAAAAAAGCAAACCAAAACAAAAATCACGGCGCGGCACGGAGTGTTTGCCCTACGCATGGGCCTCACCATGACATCCGTGCGAAGCACCACCTTCGCCCCAAGCTGGTCCGGCAGCCCCTCATGCAGAAGCGCTTGGCCAAAGACCAGCGGGCAGCCTTTGGACAGCACCTGGGAAATAAACCGAAGTCGCAGAAGTCGCCCCACAAGAAACATATCGGGGCATGGGGAGAGAGGGGAGGGGAGCCAAATAGGCCCTTATTCAGCCCCTAATAAGGCCGTATTTCCCTCCGCCCACCCCTGCGATTGTTTGATCAACTTAAACCTGATCAGTGGCGTGTCTGCCAACAAATAACTGGTGAAACCTGCCACAGAGTACAATCATCTACGATCAAAAGCCAGGAACCCAGAGGTAGACACACAACACTGGAGGCCCGCTCCGAACAGAACCGGGTTTTTCCCGGGTGAAAACCCCTTTTTGGTGGGCCACTGCCACATCCAAACCAACAGAAACCCCAATCCGTTAAGGCCTTCCCTTACTGAGCCTTCACAAGGCTTGATCTGCACGTCACCTCAAACCGTGGCCATGGGCCTCAACCTGTTTTGTTGCCAACATTGAGGCATCCACCAAGTGAGTACTTGGGTGTTCGATTCGCCAAGTTAGTAAGTTGGTGGGGAACCAAGGCTATAACCCACTTGTAGTGGGGTTAACCCAGTCATTCGGCTAAGACCCAGGCGGCTAACCACTTACTAACTTGGCGAATCGACCATCCAAGTAGATTGGAACATACCTTCCCCTTGCTTCAAAGACCCGGGGTTCGAAGGGCTCTCAAAGGGTTTGCTCAGGCCATCTGGGACCTGATGAAGAACCTCGAACTCGTTGAGTTTTCATGACAGGAAAAGCCATCTCTGTTTAACTTGGGCTACGAAATCAGAAACACCCGAACAACCCCAATGCTTGTCCAATGCTTTGTGAACGACTGTTAAGTGACTTTCTTCGGGCAAACTTGCCCATCTTTCATTTGCTTAAGCCGCCTACTGAGAAAAAAACACAAACATGTCCACTAGTGCTAGATTCCCTTTCAAACCAAAAAGGGAGCATAACAAACATATTCTCAAGCAACTGGGAAGCCATTTGACAGGCACTGAGCCTTGCTTCATCCATCGCATTGCTTGCCTCGGCGCCGCATCCGTCGGAAGGAAGCCCTTCAGCCCTCCGCGCGCGCTCAGCTCTTCTGCCAGCGTCATCCCACGGAAGTCCAGGGGCACCTGGGACCGCAAGGCGAAGACGCGAAGACCTCCAGGTGAAGGCGGCTTCAGCCGGCTACGGCCAAGTTTGGGGACCAATCAAAAAACACAACCCCAAAAAAGGGCACCACCAAAATAGATGGATGACAAAATGGATATATGGATTTGTTTGCGCATTCGTAGCAATTGACCAAACAAATGGAACGAACCTGGGAATTTCTTGAAAGGAAACCACATGGGATGATTCATAGTGCTCATCCGATCCCTCATTCCTGGTCAGGGCAAGCAAGAAATCGGGGTACCCACCAAACAAAATGTTGGTCCTTTTGCTTGAATGGCGAAGGATTTATCCACCTGGCGGATTCAGGTGTTCCCCTCTCCGTCAATAAACCATTCCTTGAAAACAACCAACTGGGCGCCAAATGTTGGGGGTGGGGGGGTGCTGTAAAAACAAAACATACTCACCTCTTGTGGTTTTCCTTTGGATAAATTCAACACACACCGACCACAGCTTTGCCTCCCCAATTCCTGCAGTCCGCACCTTGGGCTGGTAGAAGCGAGTGCGCCCAGCGCTGGTGAGCGGAACAAGCAGTGTGCAGAAGGAGCGCAGCGAGTGGTTGGGGCTGAAGGGCGCGTCTCGGTGCGGCTTCAGGAAGCCCTCGGGTTGCTGAAACAAATGGCTGAAACACATGGGGCTGTGCTTGCTTAAGGTACACCTTGTTGAGTTTCATGGAAAACCAATAGAGCTGCAATTTCAAGGGGCTCCACCAAGTGGGCGCGCTTTTGTGAGGGTACCCTTATGTCGCTTTTTTGGGAGAAATCAAAGGAAGCCAACCCCATTTTTGGGCTCCCAGTTTGACGCATCTCTAAATGGACCGCGGCCCATGCCAGGCCTCAGGGCCGTAGGAGTTGATGCGGAAACAATGGTTCAAGCCGGCCAGCTCCCATTCCTTGGATGCGAAACTTTATCACTTCCACTTGGTGAAGCTTGATCGATTCTGTCAAGAACCAACGGGCAACAGCACAAAATTATGCAAATAGAAGGTAAGAAGAGGATTTATGCAATGTCAATGTTACCTCTCTTTTTTTCATCTACCATCACCTTTAAATCACATTTGTCAAGTGTAAGAAATACGTAAGATGTTGCCAGCGGTTACCCAGATTCCCCCTGTGCACATCCAAAGCCCAGTGGCCTCTTGCTCTCTACAGCCAGCGCCTCCTCAAGGAAGGCCCGAGTGCGGCTCCACAGTAACTGCGACAGCTTCTCGTCTTGCACGACCACACGGTTGTATCGGCGAGTGCCCTGTCGGCACGACAACTCCTGGCAAGCCAATCCTTGGCCCGAATCTGGGTACGCAAAAAATATGATCTGCAGATTCTACGTCTTCAGCCAATCCTGACTAATATATACGAGTGTTGGAGGAGACCTTGGTTTTGGCCCGTGCAAGGTGTCGTTTTTGCGGGTGCAAGGGCGGCCTTGGAACTGGGTATGCGTTGGCCATCATCTCCGCCCCGATGGAGGTTGGGATCGTTCTTCGAAGTTCACAGTGAGAAGGGCGAACATCCAGGAGTAAAAAACAGACAATATTTCCAGGTACAGGGCACTGACCAAATCTACCGGCAGGTTGGGCCTTTCAAGCGAGATTGTATCCAACTAAATCCGGGGCACCGACCCCGCGTTTTAAGTCCCAATTTGCTACCGATTCATTGGAGCCTCAAGCTGAGGCGGATTTCTTGCCATTTCCGTGATTCCAAAGTTGATCCGACCATGACTATCTTACCAGATCCATTTGGGCACTCAAACGTGGCCAAACCTTGAACAACACAAATCCACGACCATGGCCTAGACACCTTTGCAAAGAAAACCCCTCCGCACCCCATTTTCCACCACAAATGTCCTGCGGGACAAATGCCAATTGCTTCGCTCTCCGCTGAATTTGGTCGCACTCGTCGTCGCTTAAGACTTGGGGCAACTGAGCCGCGCAGCCGCAGCCGCGAATTGCGGCGGTCAGAATCACCTTCACCTCCAAGGGTGCTCAAGTCCCATGCAACTGGAGTCCGAATGCAGGATACAGTTGTGCGTCCGAAGGGCCCAACACTTTCGGGGGGGGGGGTCCTTTTTGGTTTCCCTTGACCACAAGGTGAAAAGGGATAGATCTGATACACTCCTCCAGATTAACATCGAACGAAAAACAGGAACGGATCCTTGTGGAATTTGGACAGCTTTAGATTCCATGTTAAAACCACTTGCTTCACAGGGGTGCTCAAAAAGGGGATCCTCCTTACAAATGATAGACATTTCGGGTTCCATGTTCGTTGCAGGGGACAAACTCGAATATGAAAGGACATATGAGTATATATGTCTCTTTTAGGGCACCCGCGAAAAGGGTGGTTGTCCTTTTAGTTTCTCTTCAAAACCACCAAACAAAGGCTCCCTCAAAAAATGACACACTATAGTATGTTTCTTCACCACCTTGAGGCCTTTTGTTTTTGAAGGCTACCAAATCTTGGCAACCAGAGTTCAAGCATGCAAAAAGTGCAGAGCCGCTATTTGAGCAACCACAGTTGGGCAGTGTTTGTTTTGTTGTGTGAGGCCCTATCATTTGTTGACTTGCTTACACTGCCTACGCCGCCTGTGCCATGCCAACTGTCGGTGTTCGGCATGTCTAGCTCACTTCCGATCGAGAATGGACAAGTGCAAACTCTTTCGAGCCAAAACAGTGGCTAAAGTCCAGCTGAGGCGATCAGCGACCCGGTTCTGACCTCGCCAGTGACGTCGAAGTCTTCTGGGTGGAGCGGGTGGACCAAGGTTGCAGTCTGGCACTCATCCAGCAGGCCCAAGGCTGCGTTGGACTCTAGAAACTCGGATCGCCTGGCTGAATCCCATTTTCGAATGGCACAAGAGCTCACTTTTCGGAGGCTCGCGGTCTTTTAGTAAAGCCAAAATGAAAGTAACCATTTTGGCCACACTGACTCGACCTGATGCTCGCATCTGACAAGTGTCGAACAGATCCGAGCGATTGGGCCCCGAGAAAGCCAAGGACCATCGAGCTGCATTGCTCTCGGGACTATAGGCAAGCGCGCCAAAAATCATATAGGTAGCCTCCCAGCGACTAACATGGAAACGCACAGACCCCTGTAGAAAAATGCTTCTTTCCTCTTGGAAAGGGGGGTTGTGCACTTCCATGTTTGGTGGTGGGAGGGTAGTGAAAATAGTCATTTGGCTTCCAGTTTTTCTTGGTCATCATCTTGGCAAACCTGCTCGTCGCCCCCTCAGCCCCCCCTCAGCCCCCACTCAGCCCAGCCCCCCCTCAGCCCCCCCCCCATTCAAGGTTTTCTCCCTTGCCTGCTCTTTGGCGGGCTTCTCTCCACACTCATCAGCGGCACCGGGTAGGTACGCGTCAGCTTCACCTCTCATGATTGCCCTCAAAGTGGTTGATTTTCATGAATACGTTGGTGCTTTCAAGGGCATTGCCTTGGTATCACAGAAGCTGGAAGTTTTTTGCCCCGCCCCTTTCCAGAACATGCCTCTGACCCAGACTGTAGCTCGTAGCTTTTCAAGTCGTACAAACCGGCGTCTGACACCTGCCAGCCATTGGCAATCAAAGAGGGGAGTGTCGCAGGAGGCAGCCCCATCTTCTCCGCAACTTGCACCAGGAACATCTCATCGGTGCCTGACATAAGCCAGGGTTCCCGACGAGATGTTCTAACCTCACCCTTACCAGGGAAAACTCACCTATGGGCCAACAGGGCGATGCTTAAAACCAAAGGAAAAAAAACAAAAACAAACAACAAATGGAGGGATATCAAACAAATGGACCCTTGTGCCGCCTTGTGCCACTTTTTCCAGTGCACACCAAAAAGGAGCCATACTTTGACTTCATGCAAGGTGCCTTTGAACCCACTGTCAACTGATGCGTGCAAGTGCCAACCTGACACGGGTTTTGGCACTGGTGGGGCAACAGTAGGCCCCTATGTAGTGAGCAGGAGGAAACCTCCGCAGGTCACGACGCGCAGCGAATCGCACAGCGCACCGCGCGCAGGCACTTCGCACAGGACTCGGCCAACAGCGAATCCAAGCCAGGCACGGAGGGAATCGCGCGCACGGCGCTCGCAAGGGATTCTGGGGCCCCCCCAAGTGGCAGGGAGACACGCCAGGCGCAGCAGGCACGAGGGCGCAGTGCCAGGAACCCCAGGCGCGGCACACCAAAGCTCAGCCCGGGTCAAAGTCACTGCCAAAGTGGGAAGGGTGGTCACAGGCAGCGCGAGAGAAGAGGCAGACCCACACTTGGATGTGACCTTCGGCTGAGAAGTCCAAGAACCAGCAGGCAAAGAGCGCGCAGGAACAAGCGAGGTCCGAAGAACCCACTGTCAAGGCGAAACATGAACTTCTTGGAAGAACCGAAGCAACATTTCTACCCTTAATTGAGCTCAACTTGTACCAGATAAGTAACACATGTGACGTCTGAACCTCCAAATCCCTCCTACCTTGCTTAGTCTTTCCGGGGAGGGGGAAGTCGCAGGGCGAGGAATAATCCTTCTGAGTTGCAATCTGGGTAGCTCTCCACATGCCACACTTCGGCCTCTTCCGGATTGTAATAATCACCGCTCCATTCCTGCGCAGGCTGGTTCGCACTTCTGTGATACCAAAAACTATGTGCAGTCGATTTGAACGATTGTGGGAGCAACTTGGCTCGTGGTTTCAAGTGCCCTTCAAGTGAAGAAACAAATAAGCAAATCAAAGGCCTTACGTGTCCGTTCCTATGCTTGAAGTTCAACCTTCAGTGGGAAAGCACACATGGGCTTCACTTCAAATGGGCGAGCCCCAAAAAAAATGGCTTCCCCATTGACTTAAGCCTAATGGTACACCCCGGCAAATCACATGAAACCCCAAAACGACCCCCAAAAGTGACACTGCAAATCAAGCCCCAAACGGCTCCCTATATTTCCATCTTCAACATCTCCCCACCAACAGGAAGCTCACTTTGATTTCATAGGCAACCTTGACAAAACCGGACCAAACAAGTATCTTTTGAGATTCTGCTTCAAGTGTAGTCTTGAAACGGGGATTCCTGCATTTGCCTCTCTTGGTAGGGGCGATTGTTTAAAGAGCCCTGCAAAATACAACCCCGGTAACATCCTCAAGCCCGGAACTGAACCACTCCAGAGCCTATCTGGACAGAGACCCCATGGCTTTCAGCTGAACAAAATAAATTTGCATTCTCCAGCCACTGCAGCTCAAAAAGGTTTTTTTTTGTTCGCTTCCCTTTAAAACCATCCCCTCAGTTGTTCAGGGAACCCTTTTTGGGATAGACCATGTTTAGTGGGGCAGCCACCAAAAAAAAAGGGACACATAATTGGTGCCACTGAACAACTGCGTCCCAAGCATACTCTCAAAAGCGCCCTCCATTAAAGGAGAGACCGACGAACGCGACTCGTCGCGTCCTTGCGAGCATCTCGCACGGTGATGGTCCAGCGCCCGCGCAGCAGCTGGAGCTCGATCTGGTCACCCTAGACTTCGCTGGAGAAAAATCCTTGGGGGTCAAATAGGGTTTGCCTTTTCCACTGAAATGAACAGCCTCCCTTGAAAAGGGTTTCTACAGTAGGGAAAAATGCATATTTATCCCATTGTGGGGGTCGGAGGTTGCGGTCAGCAGATCACTTAGTGCAGCAAAAAACCCGTCACTTAGTGCAGTCAGAACCCAAGTGTTAAACAGGTCAGTTCAATAAAATCAACGGGCCCAACACGCTCCATGGGCCCAACGAACTCAACAGGCCCAAGCTCCCCCCGAGCCTAGGGCCCAACGGGCCCAACAGGCCGAATGGGCTTAACGGGCTCAACGGGCTCAACGGGCCCGACGGGCCCAACGGGCTTAACGGGCCCAGCGGTCCCAACGACCCCAACGGGCCCAACAAGACCCAACAAGACCCAATGGGCCCGACGGGCCCGACGGGCCCAACGGGCTCAACGGGCTCAGCGGGCCAACGTTGCGTCACATTACATACATACACTACATACACTACATACAGAGCATTACCCGCATAACATAACATAACAAAACATATAGCATAACATAACATACACACATTACATACATACATACATACATACATACATACATACATACATACAT